CCCCCCTCAGAGTCTCCCCCGCCACGACGCCCCAAACCTCATCCACCTTCCCCGGCAGCACAAACAACATCCACTTCCCCGAGACAACATTAGCCCGTCTCGCGATCTCCAGAATCCTCTTCTCGAGATTCTGTCTTAATGTGCCCAATCTCCTAGTTAACCCGCTCTTCTCGTGCGCCAGCAGCGTGCCGGGATGATCTCGCTGGGCTTCGAGCGCGGATCTCTCGTTCTCGTACTGCTCCAGCGCTCTTCTGCCATCCGTCAGGAGGGCGGGGATATTGGTTTGGGGCGGCTGGTAGGTTGGGGCTTGGATGTAGATCCAGGGGCCGGTGGAGGGGGGGAGACGGGATAGGAAGGTTGCGAGGGACTCGGTGGGGGAGTGTGGGCTTGGGGTTGAGGGGGAGGGGGAGGGGGTGGTGGATGAGGAGGGTTGGGGTTGGGTTTGGGTCTGGGCTTGGATAGCTAGTCTGTCGTGTTGGATGGTGCTGTAGAGATGGGGGTGGATGTTGGTCCAGTAGTGGTGGGTGCTGTAGGTTGAAGCTTGGGATTCGAGGTTGGTGGTTTCGGTTTCGGAGCCTGTGAGATGTTAGTTTGGATGTTTTGTTCAGTGTGGGATAGGGATGGGGGGGGGGGGGGGGTTAGATAGGGGTAGGGGATAGGATGGTACCGTAGAAGCTGGATTCATCGGAGAGAGCGGGTATAAGGGTGGATTTGGTGGGTTGGGAGGACGAGGGCTGTGACTGTTGTTCAGGCATGATGAATATGGATAGATGGAGATGGATGATGGTAATAGATGATAGTGATGGATGAAGTTGACGAGGAGAGGTTAATAAGAGAAGAATGAATGAGTGGCAGAGGTGGCACAGGATGATGGTCACTCACTCAGCAAGGCTGGGTGTCACACCCTCCACAGCAGGTGATCCATCCAGTGAATCGATATGTCTGCTCCGTATATAAGAGTCCTTCCTCCTCGCTTCCTTCTTTCGATTACCGTCATCCTCTTCTTGTTTTGCCCTAACCCAGCGCATCCACCGGCGTTCTGGATGACCATGTCCATTAGCTGAATATTTGAGACATGATGCCTGTATATATATAAGGGTTGATTGATGAGGATACTAAATAACCAGTAATCTTAATATCATAATAAAATTAATACTATTATATTACTCTATAATCTCTATAATAAACTCCTAAATTATAGTATAAAACTTATGAACCATAATGCTTAATCATAAATAATATATAACTTGGAAAAACTCTATATAACAGTCTACAACCGTAACACAACCCCCTACCACTAAACCCCATTTCTGTTATGTGTCTCCTCCATATAAAAGCTAAGATTCGTGAGACCCCGAGGTATCTCGGGCAAAATCCGCTGGTTACTACTTCTCTTTCCAACAGTATTATGCTTATTGTTGAACCCCGACGTTCAATGTACTCGAATAAGAATGCAGCCGCATGGCTAATTGTACCAACTAATTCAACGAAGTGGTAACCCCGGGTATGATAAATTCAACATGCTCTGAAACCTCTGTCCCTAAACCATACGGAGGACGAGCATTGGGAATGTCGGCGGAGAATTCAGCTCTCCATTCTTTCCTGTCTTCTTGAAAAGGGTTTGGGCACACGGGGACAGAACACTCTAACGAATTCGCAAGAGCGAATCCATAAACATTGACCGTCCGAAGACAAGACAAATTCCACCATCTCTACCAGAGACAAGCATGGCGCAAATGTATGCTTTGACATCAAGACAATATATCATAATATTCTGTTTGGAGATGGACCTGAAAGATGATCGATTCCGAGACCAATGCCCAAAGAGAAACAAACGAAGAGCCTTCTTAACAACTTCCCATTGCCAAGCAGGGAGCAAGTGACTGCTTCTTGTCCGCAAACCCCATAACCAATGACTCAGAAGATAAAGGGGTCTTTCTCGAGGTCCTGGACTGTATGAACTTGGCCAATAGGTCCTGGCTTCAAGATTATAGAACCCATTCAATGCAGGACGTGAGACTCCGCGCAGATAGCATATCTGTCTGGTATAGATATACATTGGAATCCAGAGCCATTGTCAAATATGAGACGACTTCGGGGTGTCGAGATGCGTGACAGCCTATAACAATGAGATAGTAGTAGGCAAAGAATATCACCCTCTAAACTGTCGTGTCGTCATGTCCCCGATGGCGGGTGGGTTGATATTCAGTCCAGGGTACTGCCCCTTCAACCAACAACACATCAAGCCAAGACATGGCGTAGCTGGAATCGTTCCCCATACCGGATGGGCATTTGGGTGAGGCAGGGGAAGAAGAGTGAGTTCAGATGGCAGTCTGATCCTTTACCTCAGCTACCTACTAGCTCTATTGGTATACCGCTTGAGAGATAATGCTGGGTTGGGTTGAATACTCATGGTTGATCATGGCCTGTATAAACAATTGCATTACTGTCCAGATTCCATATCATAAGTGGAAATAAATTCGCTTCGTCCAAATATCCATATCCCGTAGCCCAAGTGACACGGCGAGGTTCACACGCAAGGAAGGAATACGCCATCCGTAGAAAAGGAAGGTTGCGCTTCTGAAGGCTCTCGACCATGATCGTGACTAGTGAGAGGGCAATCTATCCTCACATGATACATACAACTCAACGAGAGAAAGATGATAACATAGGCCAGTATACTGAAGCCCGTGGAAAGAGCGGTCATTCTTTTGGGGAAATAAAAGTCAAGTCCTTAGTCCGCTAGTCCATAACGCCATGATAAAAGGAGGATCGACGGCATGAGCAGTAACTGTCCAACTGCTCATCCGCAGCCGGGTGTGCTAAAACGGACCCATTGGTGGCTGGTTGATAGCGTAGAGATTTTCGTCGGGAAAGGTGTTGTCCCAGAGCATGTTGTTCATGAAAGGGTCATCACACAAGGCTCCAATAGAACTCATGTCCATCTGACCGGTTTGGTACAGATGCTCTCCGTATCCGAAGGAGGCGTCTTCAAAGAATTCCGTTGACCCGTTGTATGGGGCAAAATCATTGTCGGTATACAAAACACAGTCTTCGTTCTTGAGCTGAGTGTACGGGTCCTGCAGCTGGAACATCTGGTTGGTCGGGTAGTTGACAAATCCAGTGGGCGATTGGAGAGGGCCAGTCGCCGGCGTGCTCAGTTGAGCGGGGCTCACTTGGGGCGGACTCAGTTGGACCGAGCTTCCCTGATCCGGGCTCATTTGGAGAGAATGCATCTCGACGGGGCTGGCGCGGTCGGGAGTCATTTGCAGCGGGCTCATGTGGTCTGGGCTCAGCTGAAGGGGGCTCATATGGTCCGGATGCATCTGCAGTAGGCTGACCTGATCCGAGCCCATCGGAAGAGAGCTGATCGGATCGGGGGCCATCTGGAGGGAAGCCACCTGGGCCGGAGCCAGCTGAATAGAACTCACTGGATCAGGACCCATGTGCACAGGGCTCGAGTGAGCCGTGCTCTCTTCAGCTGGACTGTCGCGAGCCGAAGTAGCCCGTCGCTTGGCATTGCGTCCGTTGTTCTTAGCACGAACATAGTTCCAACCGTGTGCCTTTTCCATGTGCTGCTTGCAGTTACTCTCGCGCTTGGACTTGTAGGCGCAGCCATTGAAAGTGCACGCGTACATGCGAGGCGTGGTTGAGTGACGATCATTGATGTGACGCTCGTTCTCCTTCTCGGTGGGCCACCCAAGTTCGTAGTACTTGCACCCCTCAAATGGACACTTGAAAGGGCGCGAGTGCGTCTTCTCATGTTTCCTGTACACCTGTTAGCAGCGATACAACCAACATTCATCAAACACTCACGTCAGATCACATGGTCTTTGGAAGATCTTGTCGCAGTGAGAACACTTGGTGTTGATGTTCATCGGCGGAGCATTCTTCTTGCGACGAGCCATAGACCGCCTGGCTCCCTCGTCTGCTTCATTCAGACTAAGGGTACGCTTCACTAGGGCAGGAGCATGCGCATCATAAGCCTTTCCGGTCTGCATGGAGACCTCCTCCCCATCCTTTTGGGCAACAAGCTCAAGAGGACGCCCAGTCTCGCTCATGCCGCCTTGTAGAATCAATTTCGCCTCACTAGAATGATCAGCATCAGCCTTGCCACGGACTTGCCACGGAGAAGGGTAACATACGGTGCATCTTTCTTGTTTTTGCGAGCCTCGTCTCGCATGGCCTTGAAACGGTGAACCTGCGCGGTGAGATCCAAGAAGTAGGAATTGCTGTAGCTCTTGTCCGAGGGCATGCATAGATCGCGGGGATTTAAGTGGGTGTAAGTTTCGTGCAGACACAAAATGGTAGAACTGCAGAATTGGTAGTAGGAGCCGACCTCCGATTCCACATCCTTGGAGTTGTCAGTGAAGTTCGTACAAAACCAACAGTTGAAGATGGACTTACTGCAGCCACGTAAAGTAGCGCCTTTTCAAGATCACGGAGTGTACCGATCTGTTCATTGGCAATCTGCCGGCGAGCACTTTCGACAATGTGATGGAACGGCTTGCACATCTCTTGTCCGAGTAGGGGACTGAAGATACGCTTCTCGATCTCCAGACACGCGCCCAAGCTGAGCTTCTGCTTTGGCGCGGCCTCAGAATCAACCGCCATAATTGAGCTAGTGATGGCTGACTGTGTTTGAGAGCTGCCCTGGGACAACTGGCCTTCTTTGACTGCAAAGACAATTAGATATGCCTGCATGTCATGATCAATTAACAACAACCACTCACCTTGACGGGAAGATGCGGTTTGACAGCTGCTGATGGACGTTCCCAGACCGCTGTCCGAAGGGTGACAGTGCACCTTTCTCATTCTCGCTGGTGCTTCCTTTTTCGGAGATCGCTGGTCTTTGTTCGAATCCTTGTTGAATGAATTCTCTTTGCCAGACTGCGAGCGCCGAAGGTGGATCTCCAAAACACCCTTGCGAACAGGAAGTTCGTCGTCAATATCTCGAGAGGCGGGCGTTCGGGGCGAGCGCAGGTCGAAGCGACTCAACATCTTGGTCATGCGCTCCTGGCCAGCGACAATGGCCTGGAGGGCAGCCGGAGACGTCGGGGAGCGGCGAGGTAGAGGGTGAAGGTCGGCCAGGATATCCTCCTCATCGGAAGACGGACTTGTCGCGTGGAACGTTTCTTCTCTTCGGAACCGTGAACGAGGGAGTGCATTGACGTCCGACGGCGATAGAAGTGACGGAGGGCGGGAGGTCATCACTCGCCCCCGTCGGGGGTGTTGGGCCTTCATGTTGTCTGCCTTCTGAGATGCGATCATGGCGAGTAGCGAAGCGCTGTTCCAAGGTACGTTGTTAAATAAGGCATCATCCTATGTCTAAAGAGACTCACTTGTCCGGTATATTTACGGACGGAAACTCGCGAGGGAACGATGAAAGCGCTTTAGTGATTCGAGATGACGTACGGACTAACGATGAATTGTTCAATCAAGACCTAGAGGGTCAGTTCACTTGCCGGATGGCCAAGGAGTAAGGGAAGATGAGAAATCGTGGGGGGCTTGGGGCTCAAAGGCAGGACTTACTAAGGATGGGGCAGGCAGATAGGGATGGTATGGTATGTGAATCGTGAATCCCCGAGCCTCGATGTGAAAGGGAGAAGGGGATGACGGGAAGCCCCGGGCCGCCGATGGTGGAAGCAATCAACAGACCCCTTTCTGGAGACTCCAGCAACAGGATGCTGTTACGCCGTGAGGATGAGCCTGAATCGGATGCGACACGAACTGGGGCGGGCGATGGGAATACCGAATAGCGGAGATCAAAAACGTGGAAGGGGAGGATGGGGTCAAGTATGGATCATGGCACTTGGAAGGGGTAAGGGAGACTGAGGCTGTTCATCCGGGCTGAGTCGTCTTCGATGTCTGCCTGATAGACGAGCGGCACTAGTCCCGGCCAGGTATAGCGACTGGAAACGGAGGGGCGACCATTGGAGGGAGGAGCTCGCATTGCCCCACCGCTACGGCCCTCGTCGGCCGCCATGGACGTAATCTGGATACGTGCTTTGCCCTGGCGATTGCGGTGTATCGTACGCTCGTCTGGTAATTCACCCGTGGTCGGGGCCGTTGTCTTCCGTCCTCCGCGCCGATGCAACCCCACCCCGTCCAGGGCTGGCCATTCAGGGGCTGTTGGTGCCGGAATTGAGTGGGGGTTAATACCGGCATTGCCGAAAATAGACATCAACGGGGTCGAACGATCAGTACGCTCCAGAACCTCCGGAGGAACTTTGGCGATTTAAACTTTGTCGAATCCGCTCTCTGTAATTATTGACCTTGCTGTCCTTTTCGCCCGGAGCCTCGTACTCGCATGAGTGGTGGGTAGGATGGAGATGCACTTCAGAGGGTCCCCGTTGACCTTGCTTCTATCCCCGACAGACCACCGGATTACGGCGGGTCCATTTAATCACGCTCAATCTTACGGCCGTACCAGCCAATGTCCAACCAACCAATCACGATTCCAGTCAGCTCACAGCCATCATCATATGATATGGTACTCCGTACGGAATACCGGATAAGTACTACTACTACTAGGGAACTGGAAGCCGCCGTCCTGGACATCATTCATAAGACAAGAGAAAGCGCCAGCAGAGCTGACCTTGGCTGCGTTGGAGGATGAAGGATGCCTATGATGCCATTGGGCCTCTCTACCCGCCCTTAAGCACCTTCTTACTACACTCGATGAATGCATGACAGGCTGCTGGATTCTGGACCAATCCCCAAAGGCCTCGTAGCCACACACACGTAGCCTTATGTCGATGCATTAATCGCTCGCAAGCCTTGACACTGGTGGACCCCTGTGTTCCCGTGTGTGAGCCTCATTATTATGACGCTGAGCTGCATGCAGCCCTCCAACTGGTGACCATGCCTCAGTTAGTGGATGGCCCACGACCGCTCGCAGCCCAAACTAAGCCAATGACACCGGGTGAGGTGGCCTCCTACCGGTTCCGCTGACGCGCGGGAGTCTATCTCCCTACATGGGATGTCGCAGGTCGGATTACTTGTGTGACAGGCCGTCTTTCTGTTACCAGGACTTTCTTTGATACGAGTCTCGCTTCAAGACACAAATTTTTTCCAGAGTGGCACACTATAAATTTCTTGAGGTTAGCGCCGAATAAGTTTGATTCAGGAGCTCGGGGACCTGAGGGGCTTGATGGGTTCCATCATGTGCGGCATCTCTTATCTGCTGCGCCACACCGAAACACAAGCTACCGCGACCCAAAACTTGACATTTGCTTCTCTTCTTCCCTCGCACGGCCAACCGCATGTTGATCGCTGAAACACTAACCTCATTGCGATGTGGGGTCTTTTCCACAGGGTTCTAAACACGGTACACCGTGCTTCTTGTCATCGAACTATCGAAGGCAGCACAATTCTGCTGGACTTGACAGTATACCCCTGTCGGTCGTTGGGTGTTGATAGTTGACATCTCCAATCGGAGATTAATTCGCAGGTGTTGACAGGTGTGAACTATACATAGCAGTTTATCGCATGTACAGTCTTTTTTTAGGTCGCTCGTCATCACGCTCATCGCTTGATCATTGCCCATGTTAGGCTGTCATCAATTCCCACTTCTCGGTGCTTTCGGGGGTGTCTGGCTTCTATTCCACCAAGTCTGTGGTGAAGATCTCTGTGATCCCTGGATGCAAGATCCATCGATCTCTGGGGAGACGTGTCACGCCTCGTGGTGGTGACAAGATACCAGATGTCCTGACTTGTTATCTGATCACTCTCTCCGATGATGATTGACCACCTCTGTGTAACAGATCTTAGAGAACCGCCGAGGATTTCTCTCCGGATATCCTTGCTCAATGGGGATATTCAGGGGCTTACTACCCGGTGAGTATTCCGTATTGGCAGGTGGTATCCGAAAGAAGACCGGTCCAGATCAAGGTTCATATCCAGACGGCTCATTTGGCAATGCCATGACAACACCCTTCCAGGGCTCAACTATCTATCGGATGATATATATTTATAAGCATCAGATTCAATTTCACTCCGTCTATCATTTCTTTGCTGTCCCAGCTCAACACATATAGACAGTTTCCAGCCCGTTCCTACCGGGCAGGGATGATCTTGTATGGCCCAGACAAAACAATTCTCAGAACAGGCACAATATTCCACAATCAGGGATATACTAAACACCTAAAACGTGGCAATTTTGCAATACCAGTTACTACTTTGTATGCTTTAATTCATCATCAAGATATTCACACTCACATCCTTGTGGCTTATAGTGAAGATAGTATATACAGTGCGGGGAAAGGAAATGACATAGTACTTCTATAGATAAAAATATATATGACCCTTCTCTTCACTCACTGGTTCCATGTTCAATCGTCTGTTCTCTCGTTTCAGCTCATTTCCATATACAACACCAGTACTAAGCCGGAGAATGTTGATGGGTGCTGTGTATACACGTGCGCGTATACTCGACTCGAGAAGGACCCCAATGGGGCAGGGCTGTATTCGAGGATATGGTAAGAATCAAGTAATCCAAATGCTACTAATATAGAAATGACCTTTCTGGAAGGTTATATGTTCTTCGTAACCACCCATCTATCCTCATCCTAGTACTATGATCTACGTCTGATCACCTGCCACTAAACAACTATTTCTAGAAATAAAGTCTATCACTGTTATTAGACTCGACTGTCCCGTAGAAGATATCAATCGGACCCAATCGGGTAATCTGAGGGCTATTCTAGCGTCATAGTAATAACACGAGGAAAGACACAGACACAGTTTATTGAGCCTACAGAGCCTGTTTGCTCGCTACATTTCATTGTATCTGCTTAGATATATAGATCGCGCTGAGGAATCTCATGGAAATGTCACTACAATCCATGCCCCGTCGCCCCCGAGAACGGCAACGGCTTCCACAGCGCCGCTCTCCCCAGATGCCAGATCGCATCCTGCCAGGTATTCCAGAAATGGAACCCAAACGGCACAAACCGCGACACGTAGCGGATGCCCAGATCATCCAATGCCTCCTGGAACCGCTTCGCGTCCTGGAAGAGGATATCATACTGTCCGTATGAAAGAAACAGCCCTCGAGTCCCTAGGTCTGGGTTCTGGGCTAACATCGACGCGTTAACGTAGCCAGTCAACGGCGGGGCCTCATTCTCGTCATTCGTCGCTGGTCCGCCGGAGAGAAAGCCGAAGTAGCCGAAATAGGAGGTATAGTTGGTGTAGAAGGTGTAGGTGACGAAAGAGCCCTGGGAGAGGCCTGCGAAGGCGCGACGGGAGGAGGAATTGCTGACGCGGTAGTGGGTGGAGATGTGGGGGAAGAGGTAGGTGCTGTAGAGGGAGGCGATGGTTTGAGGGTCTGGGTAGTTGCGCTGTTCGAGGGCTTGGGGGTTCGTGGTGTTGGGGAGGATACCGTACCACGTTGGCATTACGACGACGGTGGGTTCGAGTGCACCGGTGCCGATGAGGCGGTCCATTAGGTTCGAGATATACCCCTGGTTTTGCCAGTCGGCTGAGGCGCCGTTGCCGCCGTGGGAGAGGTAGAGGAGGGGGTAGGCTGTGATGTTGCTGGTGTTGTAGCCGGGGGGAAGGTAGATAACGTAGTCGTGGATGTCCGGGGAAGGGCTGATGGATCCGGGAGAGTGATAGAGGCCGATAGAGATGGAGCCTTTGCTGGCGGCGTTGCCATATGGGAGGGCATAGTCCTGGTTGAGGGGGAGGTCGGGGTAGTGCTGGAACTCCGGGTCAAAGGGAACCTGGAAGGTGGACACTAGTTCGGAGCCGGACACCACTTCAAAGGGGGGGTTGGTCGGGTCAGTGATCTCCTGGCCGGTGGTGGTGTTGCAGAGGCTGGCGTTGGCGCAGTTGAGGAGGAATGAGTATTGATATGTGCCACCGGGGAAGGGCCGCGTCCAGGTGAAGTTCCCGGGGCTGGTCTGGCTCATGGAATAGTAGGTGCCGGCTTGGGGGTTACTGGGAAAATCGCCGGGTTTGTATTCATTGAGATCGAACTCGGACCAGGCCCAAACGGAAGTGGAGTATTGATCGGTGAGGTGTGGGAGACTTGAGATGGTGACGTTGGAGGCACTGGCGTTCTGGTACGTGATGGTCACTTCGTAGCCTGTGGGGGGTTGCGAGGTTCGTGTGATTGTCACGGCCCCAAGGGCGAGAGGAGCCAAGAGAGCAAGTAGAGCAAGGAGGGACCTCATGGTGGTAAGTGCTTAGGTTGATGTGGTGAGGTACCAGTCCAGTTGTCTGGCTTTATATCAGGGGGGATACTGTTCATGGTGCCTATATCGGCTAGGCGTGCCGTGTTCAATTGCCACCGGTTCTGCTCGGCTCGAGGCATTGTCGTTTGCTTTTAAGGGAAATGGGCCATCATGCCATCTTTGCAGTTCGCAAAGCAGGATTCGGTCCTGTTGAGGGACTGCGGGGGAAGGATTGCGGGGAAGCGGATAGAGATCGGGCCTTCATGCAGAGCGACCACTGGCTAACCGCTACAAGTATTCAAGTCCGAGTCCTCTGTCTGATATGCGAGGTTAAAGAGCTGAAACAATAAGCACTGCGAGAGTGTGCAGTCACCCTCGAATGATTGTGCTCAATGAAAGCAAACGCAAAGTTTGAATTGAAAAATGTAAAGCGAAGCACGCGCTAATTAGCAATAGAGTCGCTAGTTCCTCAGTTAAGAGTGCAAGGCTTGAATTATGCGTTTTAATCCCTATTGTCCGCAACTCCAAGTGTGACGAAGCCGTCTGGGTTAAGCTGTGGGTGCCAAAGATCGCTCAGAATGTCCCAAAGAGCATTGCTAGTATTGCTCAGCGATTCGTTTGCTCTCAGAGATAAGAGGCTGGCACTGGAGCCAGCAGGGCTGGGAGGCATGTTGCTTTGTAGTATAATGGAAGGGAATAAGAAAGACCGAATGATGACTGGGTTGTGCAGAAGACAGGGAAGGTCTTGGAGGATGGAAGCTTTATACTTGAACAATGGTCACTCGGGCGTATTTTCCAAAAGGGCGTTGAAACCGTTTAGGGATCATACGGCCGATGTAGTCTCTGGTGCGCCTTCCCACGACATGCAAAGGCCTCATATCAGTGACTTATCTCGGCTTTTAGCCATTCCAGTACCCCGTAGCTCGTGGCAAATGCTGTTGAGACATGCTATTTCTACCTTCTACGCCCGAGGCTAAGAGGGGATATTCCTTGTGGTCTACGTGGTTCTTGACAAATGCCAAGGGGATCCATGTAATATGTTGAGATTTCCTTGGTACTATCTATGCTCTGGTCTGCAAGTACTGGCGGGCGCTGGTAATTCATGTCCCAGCTTGCACGGAGTGGATCTGTTTTGCTACTCCGAGAAACTGTCGCTCTCTGTTTGTTACTGTCGCTGGTTTCGAGCATCGCGAGTCGAGCATGTGAGTAGTCTCAGTTCTTTCACGTGCCCCTTACAGAGATTCCACCTTCACAGTGGGTGAAGACTTTGATCGTTGCAACAGACAAAATCCCATACCCTGCTAGGAGGATTGTCACCGCGGACAACGACATTAAATTAGGCGACAATAACAGAGGGGAGGATGCATCGTGGTACGTAAAGGATTGATACAAAGTCTCGGCCCCCAGAGATCAGCCATTGCATGTGGTTCTCGTACCCAGTATACGGAGTATACCTCAATGGATTAAGTCTTGGTGCTTGGTGTGGACCAGAAGAGCTTTTCTCTCGGGATAGTGATCAGGCCAGTGCGAGACAGTAAGATCGTGCACTACAGCAGTACCTGGGCCATTTTGCTGCACACCCAGAGGCCACAATTGACGACAGGCAGGGTTGTTCGGGCGAAGAAAAATCTTTCTGAGTCTCTGGAATTTGGAGATTTGGAAGCGTCCTATCTTTACTACCGCCAATGCACTCTGGAGTGACTGTTTTTGACTCAACCACCCCACGTCGCTGCTTTACCCGTCTGGGACTAGTTTCGGCTCAAGCCCCACTCCAAAATACTACCCAAAATGGAATGGTCTAACTGCTCCCTGGCGATCATCTGCCCGGACTTTGCCTGAGGACGCAGCTTGACTCCACGTCAAAATACTGCCTAATGAGGATAGCTCGTTCAGGCCGAACACCACAGTATACTCCGGGTCAGACCTAGGAATCATTGCTGATAAATCATCAATAAGTAGAAAACAAGTATATAAGAGCCCTTCAGACTTGATCTGGCGAGTGAAGTGGCAAGCAACTTTCATTATCTCTCTATATCACTATTTCCAAGATGTGCCACGACGAAGTCAAAGCCAATGGCTGGACCAGCATGCCTGCTAATGCGGGTGCTATCTTCAAAGACCTCTCTTTTTTAGAAAGGGTCGCTGCCATACCGCTCGATGAAATCAAGTTCCCTCATGATGATCCTGTAGTCGCGAAGACTGCGCAATATGCTAAGGCGACTCTCCACCCCGGGACGTTCAATCACTCCATGAGAGTTTATTACTATGGTACGTTGCTAATGACCACATCATCAGGTACATCCTAATAAAAACAGGAAGGGTCCTCAGCAAACAACAATTCCCCGAGCAAGCCGCCACCCTAAACCCCTCCACCTGGGCCCTCACCTGCCTCCTCCACGACCTCGGTACCACCGATGAAAACCTCACTGCAACGCGCATGTCATTCGATCTCTACGGCGGCATCAAGGCCCTACACACCCTCAAAGACTTCGGTGCCACCTCCGATCAAGCAGAGGCGGTCGCCGAAGCAATCATTCGACACCAGGACCTGGGTGTGGATGGAACCATCACGTTCTTTGGTCAGCTTATCCAGCTCGCCACGATCTACGATAACATTGGTGCTCATCCTCATGTGAAAGGATTTGAGAAGTTGATCCATGATGAGACTCGCGCGCAGATCAACGAGGTTTATCCAAGGTTGAAGTGGTGCACGTTCTTCGCTGATGTTATTCGCAAGGAAGAGTCGATTAAGCCTTGGTGTCACTCGACGCATATTGTGGATTTTGATCGGGGAGTTGAGGGAAATATGCTGATGAGGCAGTGGGAGTAAGAAGGGTCCTTTGATCATGGATATTGTGAACCGTGCTATAGGGATTAGAAGGCACCTAGGATAGTCTGGAAATGCAGTGCTGATTTTGATTTCTCTGTCGTCTCTCTTTGTTCTGATCCTGTTCGGATCCAAACAAAACAGTGCTCAGATATAAATTCTCGCTGTTTAATGTATGAATGTGCCTAACTTGAACCCAGGACACACATGAAGCATCTGGACAAATAGCATGAGGCTGATTTACAAACTCGATAGATGGCTCTGACATACTTAATGTTGACATATCAAGGAATTCACAGCTTGTGGTATGTCTCGATGATATTAGCTTCGGACCCAATTGAGGCAAAACAGTGAAAGTCTTGCTCTGTGTAGCTACATTCCAGATGGCTGTATCGTTCATTGCGTGAGAAAAAGAGGAAAGAATAATCAGAGTGACCACGAAAGAGAGTGTATGTTCTCTAAAAAATTGTCCCCGGCAAGCTTAGCACTGGACATGATGCACGAAACAGAAACAATACGCTAGGAGAAAGATACACCCACCAAATAAGCAATTGACGAGCCAGTGGTCTAGGTGAACAAGATGACGACAACCATGACGAGATGGCAGCATTTTTTCTTTTGGACCACCGCTCTCGGAAATGCCGCCACTTGCAAACAAAGAAGAACCATTTCAATCCCAACCGAGAGGTGAGGGGCAACATTGACTTTCCAATCTGGTCATTGGATATAGCGATCTATGTTGGTGTGTGCCATGGCGACAGCAAGAGTAGATTAGAAAGAAGATTGCGGTGCGCACTGAGTAACATAGCATACCCAACTAAGCGCAGCTGGCTGTAAAAAATCTAATAGTAGCCAATAGGCCGTGTCACCTTTGTCGGCTAATAATGTCTGTTACACAGCGAAGGTCGCTCAATCTTGAGAGATTCCAATATCTGTGCTATCTGAAGTATCGGATATATTGCCAGCATACGAGCCGCGATTAATGGATACGAATGCAGCATTGCCCAGTAATGCCAATGGCTGAAAGTCAAACTCGCCGGCTTGTTCGTTCCAGGTCAATCCACGAGAATTCGAGTTCAATTTGAAAAAGGCGGGTGCACAGTTCCAAAAGCAATACTTCAATGAGTTCGCTTCCGGCGATCATACGAGCGGAAGAGACTTTCAGCAGCTCACGTACGCAGAAATCTTACCTTCTGGTTGGTTCAGAGCCTGGTAAGTAAGATGCGAGGATGATCAGGCCGTTCCAACTTCTCTTTCTCCTTTGGACTCTCAGACATCCACTTGTTGAGCTTGGCTTTATTCCTGGGGAGAGTAATATACGGCACTCTCCACTAGCTAAGCTAACAGATAGGCTAGATTTAACTTGAAAGTACAAATATACTTACGCTCACGACATTCGTAGCTTTGGGGATGCTGTCCCGGACCATGCAGGGTTCGTTCGGCCCTTACCTAGCTACATCTAACGATAGCATAAGCTAGGTATAGGTTCTCTGGTGGCATACAGAGGTTTGAGACCGAAGGAAAGTCGCGGTTGACGCCGAACATCCACAATGAAGCCGGGAATTAGTGATTGTCCTCCTTGTGGCGGACGAATAGGAGACTAAGCAGGGGTAAGATAGGGAATATCATGCGCCCCTTCGCTTCATGCCTCTTTCCAAGCGCATAACTCGGCTTTGCGGTCTGTCTGTTCAAAGTGATCCTATGCCACAGGTGCTTCAATCAAGGGACTATAGCAGCATGTCTCGACCCATGAGGACCGAAGTTCCTGCTTTCAGCCGTGAATGATACCGTCCGTCATCGTATCGACAACGAACCTTCCCTGGTGCTTACACCTGACGCGGAGCGTTGCTGCAATTCAGCTACCGCCACATCCATCTTGCTAGCCTGCAATATGTTTTCGTTCTACGCTCGGGGGCAAGTCAGCCAGCCAGGCTGACAATTGTCGCCGGAGGGTGCCATCTCAGCAGAGTACCGGATACGAACCCCGATGACTCCCATCTCACCTGGCTCGCCTATCATTTCCTGGGTCATTGGTAACTCACCCGTTCTCGAAATGAGCCAGCCAATCCCCTTGGGTTGATCGCCACTGTCCGTCAGAATGCCTTGAGGATCAGCTTAAACCCGACAACCTGGGTCAAAGGTATGACCGTCTGACTATTTTTCATAGATGTATATGTGCTTCGGCTAACCCTTGGGCTATCTTATTTCGTTAACATCGTCTAATCAGCGTTCGAGATCAGCTTTCGATACCACAAGTATATGATGGATACTATAGTGCCATTGTCCGATACTCTGGAAGTCGAGAATGGCTTTAGGCTCCTTCATATCCACCCATACGAAGCTTCCCAGCTGAATCGGATGCTCGAGATGTACTTGAGATGCAGTACATTATACGAAGTCAGAGACATCAAGGGCTAGCGCCAACGGAACGATTGGAGGAGACGTTATACTGTTCGTTGCTTTTTCTAAGTTGAGGCAAAGCAACAGGGAAGATCCAAGAATCGATGATTCTATTCAAACAGTCTTGCTGGGCGCAGCCGATGCTTACCGCAAAGCTCTTATAGCTGCGAGCTGCCTAATAAACAGGGTCATTAATGTAACTGGGGTTAATTCTGCCCTGAGCCCGGATCTATTTAATACTTGCTTTTCTCCGTGGCTGGCACATTTCGTGACGTTGGCAAGGTATTTGATTCTTCCATACTGGCTCTTCAAGTTCCTTCAGAAGGACCACACTACCAAACATGATTCTGCAGACATACCTTATTGCTATAGTCAATTACTTCGGCTTCTCACCCTTCCATGCATCGCACCAAGACTCATTGCAATACCCTTTGCAATATGACAATACGCATACCGTCCATGCAACCCCCAAGACTCTTTCTTTTGTTCCTCCTGGCGATGCTGAGTCTGCCGAAGCTGTACCATTCATGTGTCAGTATCCTGCGATGGCAAATGAGTACACCTACAATAGTTCAGGGAAAGACCGAAGTGTCTGGCTCAAACATCGTACCAATTCTTCAATGGACTTTGATATAAATACCGACTACGAAGCAAGATGGCCCATCGGCATTGAGCGCAAGGTAGGTGCATTAGGGAACTTGCAAGGTATTGAGGACAAGGTCAACATTAACTTGTATTAGTATACCCTCACCGTGGGCGAAAAATCATTGAACTTGGATGGCATTGAATTTCCGTACGCAAAGGTCGTCAACGGAAGATTCCCTGGTCCTTGGATCCGTGAGTATTGTACCCTAGAGCTTCCGATCGATTAATGCTCATAAGCCTGCAGAGGCGTGCTGGGGAGACCGGATCAGTAAGTATGGTGTGTGCCTTCCTTGTTCTCATGCTGATAGGGCTAGACGTCACCGTTAAGAACAATATGTCCAAGAATGGGACTGCCATCCATATGCATGGGCTACGGATGCTTGACAATGGCCTTATGGATGGTGTGCCTGGTGTAAGCCAATGTCCTATCGCCCCAGGAGACACCTTCAACTATGTGTTCAATACAACTCAATATGGCACGACATGGTATCATAGTCATTACAGTCTTCAGTACTCGGATGGTGTACTCGGCCCGTTGACTATCCACGGGCCAACATCGGCTAATTTCGATAAAGCTATTGATCCCATTATCTTCACGGATCACAATCACAGAAGCGCCTTTCAGGAGTACTATCAAGAGCAGTTTGCGGCTGCGGACTTGAGTCGAGTTCCGCCCAAGCAGACGAGTATTCTTCTCAATGGTCACGGTATGTTGAACGCTGTCAGCTTTCCATGGAGCACAACCAAGTCATGCATTGACCACCGATAGGGAGCTATGCCGGGTCTTTCCCCAACAGGCGATACAAGAAGAAAGTAAAGCCGGTTAGGAGGCACCGCTCATTTACCGTGAGAAAGGCAGTGCACTGCTAACATACGTAGGGCAAAAAATATATACTGCGGCTTATCAACGGGTCGACTGATACAACATTCATCTTCAGCATCGATGGTCATAACCTCACCGTGATCGGTATGGATCTAGTACCAGTTCAACCCTTTACGACAGACCATATACATGTCGGAATTGGTTCGTCTTCTCCGCAGTCAACCCCAAATCCATCAGTCTAACAGAAGGCCAGGCCAGCGATACCATATTATTCTTGAAACCAAGACCGAATTTGATGACTCTGAAAAAGGGGCGTACTGGATTCGGACCGATCCTGCGGATGGATGCCACAACTTTGAAACCTTCCCAGACGCCAGACAGGGCATCCTCTGGTATGAAGGAGGCTACCCCTCAATCCCAACCACAAACGCACATTCGTACAATAACACATGCAGTGATATGCTTAACCTAGAACCAATTGTCCCTTGGACCGTTGATCAGCCACCCCCAATTATACCAATGGTAAAATACAATATGGCCCAGTCGTTCATTGAGAGGGCAGACGTTGTGATCGGCAAATGGAACCTCTCAGCAGAGGGGGAGGACCCCGAGGTGCTTGTCAATTACTGGAAGTTCTTGAACAGCACTCTTTGGGTGAATTACCAGCAGCCAACTGTGAACAATCTTGATCCTCCATACAACAGCACTCAGGTTGTTTACCTAGCTGCAGAAGGAAAACCTGCCGAGACCACATGGAATTACATGTTATTGATCGGGGGTTATACAGCTAATCCCAGTCCGGTGACTGGGGGAGCTCTGGCTCCAGTAGCACATCCAGTAAGTGACGTCCTCCTCCCTCTACACTAACCATAATACAACAGCTAATAGATACGCCTCAGATCCATCTCCACGGTCATGATTTCGCAGTTCTGCAGTACTCGACTGACAAGTATAACAACTCAGAGAACTTGAAATTCACCCTCGATAACCCACGGCGACGGGATGCCATCCTTCTCCCACTCAATGGCTTTGTCGTAATTGCCTTTAAAACCGACAACCCGGGTGCCTGGACACTACATTGCCATATCGCATGGCATGCCTCGGCCGGGTTGGCGTTGCAGGTTCTGGAAGAGGAGGACGTGTTCAAAACGCATATTGAAGACTCATCTATCGCGCGGGCGCAGTTGGATCGAACCTGTCAAAACTGGGAGACTTGGTTTGCAAACAAAACCAACCGCTGGAATCCCAATGGGCGGTTTCAGGATGACTCGGGGATTTAATCGGACTGCCCCGTTGCATTGACTTCGTCTTGAACTCCACTATGGGACAGGCCAAATAGACGGTCTTGGAGCTTGTATTTGTCAATGATAACTTGTTGCTATGTGGTACAGTCGATGATGTATCTTAAGTCTCAGACTTTTTGGCTAAGTAGTATCAAGCCCTGTAAAGAATAATTATCCGACCGAAACGGTCGCCGAAGATATATGTTTTATATTGCCGAGCTCATCTCGCACAAGCTGCAATATTAAATCGACAAGGGAACAATAGCCCAGATCCACCTGACAGGTGGTCAGACGAGGCCAAAAGCCCATGTGCCTTCTTCCCCGAGGCCCCTGGGTGTCTGTGGGCATTGCCGATCCGCGTGGACCTGAGAAATGGACCTCGGCAGAACGAGGGCGGGCGGTGCCGAGCAGCTGCGGCCTCTCGTCCATCTCCCCGGACTGCCTCCAATCCTCCCGCTGTCGATCGCGAGCTCTCTGCCATCTACTCTCCAGTCACCTTGTCCTACTGCCTGGGGGTTGTCTTATTCCATTTCACTTGAATCGCTATTGGACAAGGAATGTGACCACGTTGTCTGATCTCCTGTGTGGTAATTCCCCGTCCCTCACGACCAGTCCCCGCCCAGCCTCCGGCTATCCAGCATACTCGCGCCCTCCACCATGGACCTTGAGCACCGTGACCTCAACTCAGATCAGCCCAGGCGGCGAAGGCGCAATGCCGTGAGGCGACGTATGCGCAACAGGGCGCCGCTCTCTGCGCGCCTTTCCCTTGATCCCCAGCTACGCGGGAATGTCGGAGTTGTGTCCGAAGATCTGGCCAGTGACCTCTTTCAATACTCCACCGCGACCGGTAAGTGGAAGAGAGCTGCGTGAGGGTCCTGCTGCGTTGCTGACTTTATACGCTGTGAATGAAGAGGGAAACGGAACCGAACCCGGAATTTATTATCTCGCAATCTCGCCCTACCTTCCGGGCTATAATGCGGTGGAGGATCTGGCTTGGACCATCATCCCGGTCCGGCCGCAGTCCAAAGGACGCTCCCCTCAGTCGACCATCCCTCATTCTACAATACTCTTCCCACACTCGGCAACTTCCTTACAGCCATTTACCGACGCATTGGGCAAGCTTGATCCCACCCGTCATACTCTTCAAGCACAGCGTCCTATTGAGATTCGAGTGTTGGATGTTGCGCCCCTGCCATTGGACACCATTTACGTGACCGTTGAGCGGAATCTGCTTCGGAATCACGATGATATCCAGAATAAATTCGGTGGGGGATTTGCTTCCAATCAAAATGGGCCCAATGGGCTGTGGGCAAAGGGAGGGAAAGGTGTTGAGACCAAGAAACCCTCGAAGAAGGCGGCAGCAGAGACTGAAGATAGGCTGACGGCTGCGGTACGTGAGGCCTTGGGAGCCGAGAAGGTGGTGCATACCGGTGATGTACTGCCACTTCCATTGCCTCCGCATCCCATTACCTATGCCCCGTCACCGCCTGCGCGCATCTCATACTGCGAACCTGTTTCTCAAGGCCTACTGGTGCCGACGACCAAAGTCGTGTTGATTCAGGCGCGGTCTCCGGGTCATCGGGCACAGCGAAGTTTGCGCTCGAGCTCGGGTCTTCTCAAGCAAGTCGCGGAAGATGAGGCCGACGACACCTCTAATGAACAGTTTTACTCCGCCGCGGAAGATAAGCCGGTGGAAAGCAGCACAGAGGTGGAGGCTACTTCGACCGCAGATGAGTCAGAAACTGAAGGATCTGGAGGAAATGCGAGCGACACGTCGGATGACTCTCTAGACGACATGATCTCGCTTTCTGCCCCTGAGCTTCCCCAGTCAGCATCGGGTGTCATGTCCGCCATGACCGCTGCAACACCCCGGGCAGGGGGCCGTCGCGCGGACGGGACACATACTCCAGGCTCTGTCGCATCCAACTTCACTTCTACGACCATGCGTCCCGGGCGCGCAAACGGCGGAAAGGTCTTCAGGGCGGAAGGCCTGCTCCGCAGGGTACCGAGCGACCTCCTCCACCCCAGGCCTCGGGAAGACGACGATATAGAGTCGTTCATCTTTGTTGATGTCAGCACACTCGCCAAGATCGGCTGTTTCTCTGGGGACTGGGTTAGGATTGAGGCCACCGAAGAGCCGCAGCTCAATATGTTCGCCTCTATCAAGCTCGGGAGCTTCACTGGACAAGAGGACGACTCTGGAGACTGGCGTGCTGTCAAGATATACGGACTCCCCGGCCTTCCGTCCGCTAAGCCGCGATACTCAATCAACCAGTCTGGCGAGCGACGGTCGAGCATCTCTCAGCGTGCTCCTACGCGCCTGACGCCTTCAGTGTTCGTTCCTCCGTTGTTATTGAACAACCTAGACAACCCCAAACACATCCGCATTTCTCCGATGATCTTCCCTGCGGCCAATGGGGCCAAGCCTGGTCTCCTACACCAGGTGAAGTCAAGTGTCGTCCGCAGCCCACCTTTGGCAAAGGAAGTGACTTTACTCAAAGTCTCTACTCCGCTATCCATGGACCGTGTCCTCCAACCGGCTCTGTTTGCTGGTCTCAAGCAATACTTCGAGTCCCGGCGACGACTCCTCAAAGGCGGCGATCTCGTAGGAATCAGCGTTGACGAGGGATTCGGTAGAGCTGTTTTCTCAGTAACTACTGGTGGCGACAGTGGTGCTCAGGATGATGACTTGGCTACCCGCTTAGGTCAGGTTACCGACTCTGACCACACTACATCAAAGAAAGTTGGCGTTGCCTGGTTCCGTGTCGGGCAGGTTGTCCCTAGCATAGCCAATGAACAAGATGGCGCTGGTGAAAACCAGTGGGGAGGCGTTGCTGTCATCGATTCCGCCACTACAAGAATGGTGCAGGCTGGTAGCGATGTAAGCAGGGTACCAGGCACTATAGATAATGGGTGGGAATATTGGCTTGGAGTGAAGTCAGTCCCAAGGACGGCCAATGATGCCCCGACTCCACATGGTCTTATCACAGAAGCTCCGCAGTCGTTTATTCCCCCACTGCAACGGCGCATTCGTGACTTGATGTCAGTGGCGACCAGCCCTCGTGCAATCCAGTTGGGCATGAAGCCGGTTGTCATACTGATCAGGTCTCAGCAGAGACACATTGGAAAGGCAACCATCGCCACACGGGCTTGTGCTGACATTGGCCTCCATACATTTCCCATTGATGCCTATGATATCTTGACCGAAGGTGGTGCAAATGGCGGCGACGTGAAGACCGAAGCTTACTTGAAGGCAAGAGCCGAGCGTGCTTTCCACTGTGGATCTGAATGCACGGCACTCTTGATCAAGCATATCGAAGTGTTGACTGCAGACCGTATCGTTTCAGCAATGGCTGATATTGTGGCGGATGCACGAGTCATGATCGCGACCACGACGGATGTCGAACAGATCCCCGAAGGCATTCGCAGCATGTTCACGCACGAATTTGAGATGACTGCCCCGGAGGAGAAAGAGCGTGAGGGTATTCTCCGCAATGCTGTCTCTGAACGCAGCATCAAGACATCGCCTGATGTCGATCTGGGTACGGTAGCTTTGAAGACTGCTGCCCTAGTTGCTGGAGACTTGGTGGATGTGGTTGAACGAGCCGCAGCTGCACGGGCCGCGCGTCTAGAGAAACTAGCAGAAACTGCCAGCAAGAATGCTGGGCAGACTGTCAGCGTCAGGGATGTCCTTATCTCCGGCGGGGACGCCGCACGAGGAGTTACGAAGGTTGACTTTGATGTCGCAGTCGACGCCGCAAGAAAGAACTTTGCCGATTCAATTGGGGCACCAAAAATCCCCAATGTTGGCTGGGACGATGTGGGTGGTCTGACCAACGTCAAGGACGCTCTGATCGAAACCATCCAACTGCCGCTCGAGCGGCCTGAGCTGTTCGCGAAGGGTATGAAGAAGCGCAGTGGTATCCTGTTCTACGGACCTCCGGGTACCGGCAAGACCCTCCTCGCCAAGGCTATTGCAACCGAGTTCTCTTTGAACTTCTTCTCCGTCAAGGGACCCGAGCTGCTCAACATGTACATTGGCGAGTCCGAGGCGAATGTACGCCGAGTCTTCCAACGGGCTCGGGATGCCCGGCCGTGTGTTGTCTTCTTTGACGAACTCGACTCGGTTGCCCCCAAGAGAGGCAATCAAGGAGATAGCGGCGGTGTCATGGATCGTATTGTCAGTCAATTGCTTGCGGAACTGGATGGTATGAATGGGGGCGAGGAGAACAGCGGTGGCGTCTTTGTGATCGGTGCCACCAACCGCCCCGATTTGCTCGACACAGCGCTTCTTCGTCCTGGCCGGTTCGACAAGATGCTGTATCTTGGAGTGTCTGACACCCACGAGAAGCAGGCTACGATTTTGGAAGCTCTTACGAGGAAGTTTACTCTGTCACCGGAAGTGTCGCTCGGCCGAGTTGCCGACCGACTGCCTCTGACCTACACGGGTGCTGATTTGTACGCCTTGTGTTCGGACGCCATGCTCAAAGCCATCACGCGCAAGGCCACGGCTGTCGACGAGAAGATCAAGCAGTTGCCAGGGGAGCCCGTCAGCACGGCATACTTCTTCGACCATCTGGCGACGCCGGAGGACGTGGCCGTGATGGTTACGGAGGACGACTTCAAAGACGCACAGGAGGAGCTCGTTCCTAGTGTTAGGTAAGTACAATGGCTGATTGCGTTCCACTCTTACATTTCACCTCTAACTTCATGCAGTGCCAAAGAACTGGAACACTTTGAACGAATCCGGCAGACGTTCGAATCGGTTGATAAACAAAAGCCGGAGTCTGGCAGTGGTAACTCTGGGTCTCAGACGATCGAGGATGCGCTCGAGGCACTTAAAGCCGGCGATCAGCTGGCCTTTAGCCTGGATGGACCCGCCGTCAACGGCGACTCCATCAACGATTCCGGGAAGGGCAAAGGAAAGCAAGTCTCGACTGGCTACTCAACAAGTGGAAAGGGTAAAGGGAAGAATCCTGCTGGCTCGGGCGGGAAGTTGAAGAACAAGTCTGTCTCCATGCCGAATGGGGATTCGGATTCATCTCTGGACGGTCCCCCGGCTGACCGGGGCCAAGGCTACGATGATGTCGTCGAGCAGGATGAAGATGGGATTACTAATGGAGGTGATGAAGACTACATCATCCGCACCGACCACTTAGCTCCAGCTGGTGGATCTAAGTGAAGGAGATGCTTGAGAACTTGCGCCTGGTGACGAATAATGTCGCACATGGATGACTATGGGGCCATCTGCAAGGCCGATGTACATACATATACATATATCTTACTGTCATGACTGCATGCCGGGAGATGACATGACCAAATCACCGATCATTGGACGATTGAACCCGGTTCCTAGCCTAAGACTTCGTATAGACTCAGGCTACTGTGTAGATATCCCGACGGCGATTGCCTGCAGTGCCAGACTAACCGAGTCTGGCTTAGGGAAATTGGATCCCGTGGCCCGCCGATACTTTAATTGCTTAGCGATTTATATTAGTCGGGCTGACAGGACTGACAGTAGAACAAAAATCAGCATATCTCGGAAGGGGTAGATAGGTATCTCTTATCGGGGGTGATAAAAGTTTGCCGCGTGAGTCAAATCTTGCAATAATCCTCGTTGCCACAGCCCAGGATGATCTCAGGGCGGGCGCTTATCTTCAACAACCCAAGTTCCCATGTTTCACCGGCCAAATAAGCTTCGTCTCCGTCACCCAAAGCCGGTTAGGCTCAGACTTCCCACTCGAGGGTCCTCCACCGCGCCGTTCCTGACTGGCTTTCGGCGATCCCGGTTCGGCGCAGTGAGCGAATCACCAGGCAGGGCCATGGCTCTTATCACCGGCGGGGTGCTGATTCCTCCTCCTCTGGTTAATGCCTGCTCGGGCGGACTCAGTATCGTGGCGGGCATCTCATTACCCCATATCCATTAGGTAACAGACCACGGAGGACCTCCGCCACTCATTCTCCCCGCAATTCGTCCTCGACCAGCCAGAGCTGCTGATGCAGAGAACGCTGAGCGATTGCTGTGCCCTATGAGCTCATTCCATTTCCGCGAACACGGTAATCCCGGTGGATAATGGACTGCTGCCAGTGCCATATCGGAGCCTGGGGGTATTCCGTGACCCCTTCCCTCCTTCGGGCTGTCTGACGCCCTGCCTTTATTTTCTCGAATGATCCCCTTCACTCTCCCTCTCTTCTCTTTCTTTCCTCCGGTTCCATTCTCCTCCTAAACCTTCCTTGAATCCATCGTTTGGTCCGTAACTGTTCCCTGGAGGCACATAATCGGCAATCGATCCCTCATCCACCATGAAAGACATTCGGGGTGATGATGACGCCCAGTTGGCGGCCATGGGCCACAAGGCCGAACTGAACCGGAACTTTTCGATGCTGTACGTTGCCGAAGTCATGCTGCTGACTTGCCTCCCACGTGGTCCATACTGATCCATCCCTTCCTTGATCCAGGTCAATGTTAGGCTTAGCCTTTGCCATCTTAAATGTACGTCGACAAATAAACGCGCGGGCGCGGTTGGACCGTCCAATCTCGATAAGGCCAGCATGGTGCTAGGCCAGACCAGGAAGTGGGTAACTGATTAAGTCTATTTGCAGTCATGGACCGCTCTATCGGCGAGCTTATCGATCAGTTTACCGTCTGGTGGCTGTGTCAGTGTCATCTGGGGTAAGTTGGGATACTTATGCTCCTTCCTGTCTATTAGGGATCCACTGCGTGTTTTACTGTATGATTGTATGTGTCGTTACCTGCTGACTCTTTCTGCCTCTAGGTTTGATCACAGCAGGTATCTGTAACCTTTGCATGTCGGCCTCTCTTGCTGAGTTCTTGTCGGCGTATCCTACGTAAGTGATCTCACTCGTGCTCTTGGCTCCATCTAATCGTGGGTTCAGTGCTGGTGGACAATACCATTGGGTTGCAGGTGAGTACTTCTTTATACCTATGGCTATCTCATGCAGTGCTAATCATTCGTCTCTTTATTAGTCAGTAAGTATTTCGATGCGTCTGATATCATCAACATTACTAACAGACAAAGTCTCTTGGGAGAAATGGATGCCTGTGCTCTCGTGGATCACTGGATGGGCGAATGTGTCTGGCTGGGTACGCGTATGAATTTGGTTATATGGGCAGCAGCTAATTGTTTTAGGTTGCCTTGACTGCAACTGGTGGACTTCTCGGCAGTGAATTGGTCCTGGGTGTCATCTCCTTGATGCATCCTGTAAGGCCCCTGAATTCTCTGTTGGCGTCTGGTACTAACGGTGGACAGACGTATGTGTCACAACGCTGGCACCAATTCTTGATCTACATCGCCTATAACATCATTGCATTCCTCATCAATGCCTTTATGAACTCCCTTCTTCCTCTGTTCACCAAGGGCGCCTGTGAGTGGAATGTTTGCATCGTTGATCGAATTTGAGCTAACATCCTCAGTTATTTGGTCCCTCACCGGGTTTACTGTCATCTGTATCACCCTTCTAGCATGCGCGTCGCCCAACTACAGCTCGGGAGAGTGAGTGATGTGTTCACTGGTAGGGGAAGCCTTGCTGACTCGGTTAGGTTTGTCTTTGGAAAGTTCATCAACGAAACAGGCTGTAAGCCAACCCACTTCTTTTTTATGGATCAAGGCTAACATTTTCAGGGCCTGATGGTCTTGCTTGGCTACTTGGAGTATGTCTATCATCCCATCTGCGCGATCTGTTACTTATCACTCTATAGCTGCTTCAAGGAGGACTGGGTCTCACTGGATTTGTAAGTTTCACGCCGTCTTCCTGCATTTCGGTACTAACAGCTATAGGACGGTGTTGCGCACATGATTGAAGGTAGAGTTGCCGGACATGACAAGCAAATGCGTACTGACATCCGCAGAAATTCCCAATCCTTCGGTCGTAGGACCCAAGATCATGATTGGATGTGTCTGTATTGGAACCTTCACTGGAACCATCTTCCTGATCGTGCTGCTCTTTGTTGCCGGAGACATCTACGAAGACATCAGTTCGGCGGCCACTCCCCTGCTGCAAATTTTCGTCAATGCGACAAGTAACAAAGCTGGGGCTATCTGCCTTCTTATGTATGTCTACCCATCATGTTGGCCTTCTCGACTGACGGTTGAAGCTTCCCTCTCGTGTGTGTCCTCTTCGCTGCTATCACGATCATGACGACCAGTAGCCGTATGATATACGCGTTTGCAAGGTAAGCAGACATTCTGTCCCATTACTGCGGATGTGCGGATTTGCTGATATTATACAGAGATGGAGGTCTTCCGGCTTCTCCCTTCTTCAGCAAGGTACACACCAAGCTCGAGGTCCCGCTGAATGCGTTGTACCTCACCAACATTTTGGTTATTATTTTCGGATGTATCTTTCTGGGCTCCTCGAGGTAAGCCCACTGTAGATGACTGTGGTAACTCGAGTCGTACTAACATTGGAATAGCGCGTTCAATGCTATCGTGTCCGCGTCGGTAGTCATGCTCGATATTGCCTATGGCATTCCCATTGCAGTGAACTGTCTTCGGGGTCGGAGGATGCTGCCTGAACGCTCCTTTGTGCTGCCGAATGTCGTTGGCTGGATTGCAAACATGGTATGTTGATCCATCGGCTGTCACTAATTGATACTGACGGTGTTGCACTGGCAGGTGTCTCTGGCTTATATCTCTGTCACGACCGTGCTCTTCCTCTTCCCTCCGGACTACCCGGTGACTGGAAGCAACATGAGTAAGTTTGGTCTGATCGCCTGTTCCAGCGTGTCGCTAACATATCTAGACTACTGTGTGGCCGTATTTGGCATCATCCTGATTGTGTCGCTGTTCCAGTGGTTTGTTGATGGCCGCAAGAACTTCACCGGACCGCGGATGGACGTGGATGTCATCTCCGGGCAGGTTGCCGCGGGGGGTGACGTTGCTGAAGAGGTTCAGCATACCGATTTTCATGAGAAGTAAGCAGAGTAATAGGGAATGGGATCTGAAATATTAAGCCTGGTGCTTGGGAATCTTGGATTGTTCTGTACATAACACGGCGTCACGGCGAATAGAGTTCAGCTGAAACGTGGGAGATTCACTCGAAGCTCAGGGCCCGCTTGGGGCAGCCCTCCGTGAATGCGGCCGGCATTGCGTCATAGTTTCTGCCCGCAAACCGTTCCCAACAACTTCACCTATCACTCTTCCCCACACTTCGGCTACACCTTTAACCCACTGTTAGTCTGCTCGGAGATTCGGCACAGTGAAAAACAGGGCTGATCTTTTGATAAGAGCGATAAACACGTGGTCTGCCGATCTGACCAGGTTTGGGCGGTTTCTTGTGGTACCATCAAATTGCCTGATCTCAACGCCAAGCCCCACCGTTCAACGCGCCAACAGAGGACTGCTAGCAATCCAGATCCAGCTGTCGGTCCTCAGACCTCAGCAACTAAGCAACTAAACCAAAATGCTTTCATTCCGACTGCCATCTATCAACAAACTGCTGCCGTGGGGAGACCGGGTGCTTTTCGCGGTGCCGTCTGTCAAAATCCACGATATTGATACGGCTCTGGAGAAGCCCGCCCGCGCTCTGAAGCATCTACTCAAACTGAACCACGCCAACCATGCGATTTTGTACAATGAACGAAGATTCCATAATCATGCCCCCCACGTATGTCTGAGCTTCTTATGGGTTCTCAAAAGTCACTGACTCGCGCAGATCCTTTGTTCATCTTTCCTGCAAGGAGCGGACGCAGATGACTTGAACCGTGTCTATGAGGCTGAATCCAAGCATCTTGAAGTTTGGACAGATGCACCGGCTGAGATCAGTCTTTATGACTGGAGGGACTACTTGGGGTGCAGAGAGTATGACTGAGCTCATATTTCTATGACTGCCGCTAATCGAGGGCTGTAGATACCAGCGTGCCTTTGTGGACTTTTTTGAGGATGAACTCGTTCGCCAGGGATATGATTGGAAGAGTGTCGTCAATGAGTATCTCTTCTCGGGCAAAGAGCCATTGTTCAACTCCGTTGTTGCTGATCGTATGTTGGCCAAGCTCATCATTCGTATACTCTGGCTGATTGATGGTGTTAGTTGGACATCCCCTGATTCATCTGGCATATGCTTTTGAACTTTCCAGCCGCGAAGTCGCCATGGAAGCCCTGGCCATGACCTCAACCTGCTACAGCAGCATCCACAAGTATCTGGACGACCCTTCCTACGCTCAGGCCGAGTCATCCTACCAGTCCAACTCCCTCTTTGAGATCATCAACAAGGTCCGTACCGACAAGCAATTCAACGGCCTCTTTGGAACCCCCGGCGACCACAACATCGAAGTCATCTTCCGTGAACGCGAAGCCGCCCTTCTCAACCACTGGAACGCGTGGAAGATCCAAGATCCCGTCAAGCAGTTCCGGGAGAGCCAAGAACTTGCCGCCGCCGTCTTGATGGGCACTCATTCCGACCGAACCAGTGAACAGTACGATTTCTTCTTCGTTCACATTCTGACTACCAGCCACGCGGTCCGGGTCCTCCTGCCACTCATCCCTCCCCAATTTCAGGTCTCTCTGGTTCGACAGTGGTGGCTCTTAACGCTGTCCGTCTACATTGCTCAACTCCGACCGGAACTCGACCTGGACCGGATCCGCAAGTACGAGCTCACTGGCCGCGACTGGACCTGGACCGCCAAGCAGGCCGTCAAGGGCGAATACTCGACTGATACACACTACGTGAAAGCGCTGCGAGCGTTCCGGGAATGTGCCGATACCTGGGGAGACGCGGAGTCTTTCTATCTCAAGGCGGCGGTCAAGTTTGGCGAGGAATTCAACGGTTGGGGAGGATTTATCTGATCTGAAAAAGCATTGCAGTCTTGATTTATGACATGAATGTACTAATAGGTTACCTTTTGCCTGGATGGATTGATTCGTTTCAAGTGTAATCCTAATTTCTGCTTGGACACCGCTTCTAATATGACTTGAATGGGATTCCGAACTGTTGTCCGTCTATGCCGTAGACAAGATTCCGATCCATGATGAATCCCGTGTTGTTCTATTTACGCCTAAGGCACCGTAACACGAAACCACCATCACGTGTCCGCGTGTCATTTGTCCGGTTTGCACCACACGTCTCCGCGGACAACACCTTCACGTCAATTATTCTTCAACCAGACACCAGCACTATCACCACTGTGAAACAGCCACTACACCAACGCGACTAACCAAACAAACAGACAAGAACTCACTAACCATGGCATCATCTTCAACCCCACCACCAGAAAGCGACCCCAACTCCAGTCTACATCTCCACGCCGAACTCCTCCCCAACATCCGCCAACTAACCCTCTACATCTCCGTCCCCGCCAACACCCCCAGCACCGATCTCACCATCACCCTCTCGGAATCCCGCCGCTCTATCTCCGTTTCCCTAAACCCTGACAACGACCCCATAACCATGAAACTCCCCGCCCACGTACACCCCACCTCCCACCACATCCTACACCTCACCCCCACCACCCTCCCCCAAACCCAACCCCGCGCCACCCAGGGCGAATACTCGTTCCGAATGCCGGTCGACGTCAATACCCCCATTACTAACAATCATAATGATCTTGATTCCCTGGACGGGTATATCCCCTGGACGGCGACGGATATGTCCTCTGCGACGAGGTTGCGGTGTTTGAAGTGTGAGAGTGAGGTGTTGGGTGAGGGGAAGGTGTGGAAGGATCTGCCCAGTGGGAATTGGGCCGAGATGATGGATTTTTGGCATTGTCATAAACCGGATCCGCCTAAGGGAGAAAATAATGGAAACGGGGATGGGGAGGAGATGAATGCGGTGAAGGGGTATGGGGCTGCTAATCAGGTCGTTGCGACGCCGGGGACGGTCTTGGTGGATGTGGTGGGGTTTTTGGTCGCGGGGAGGGATTGTTTGGGGGTGGAGCAGGTAAGGAGTATAATCTTGTTCCTGTTTGATGTTTGAGGTGGTGGGAATGGGGTGGGATTGGGTGGAATGGGCAACAAGAAGGAGACCTTTTTCAGTCAATGGTGAGGCCTTCGATACAATTGCCCTATATTCACAGAGTCATGGTCGGACTGTATGGCCCGGCATGAACGGGGACAATGGCTTGCTGGTGTCGGGGTAGATATCCTCATGCCGATGGATTTCACCTGGACGACTGGCAGGTCAATGTTGCTCGAGTGCCCTGGTGCTGTGATCATGACTTGCCTCGTGTGTTTCTTCGTTGTCTGCCTGAGTGTTGGAGTCGACGCGATTAAACGAGGTATATACTATGTAATGCAGTATATAGTTCTACCCTCAATTGGAATCCGCATGTTTTCGTATCCATCCATCATCGCTAATACTGTACTTAGATTCCCAACACCAACACCGACACAACCCACCCAGACGCAAACGCCGACAAAATCCACTGCACCACCTGCACCACCCAACTCGGCATCCACGACCCCATCGCCAACGGCCACCGACTCTACAAAACCCGTCTCGCTGCCTCCTCCCCTTCCTCTCCCTCCCCAACATCCTCATCCTCCCCCGAAGTCTCTCCAACAACAACAACGATCTGGTCCCACCACCCCCCCGAAACAGTCATCTCCGCCCAACTCCTCGAACTCATCGACCGCGAAAGCACCCGCCGATTCATCCTCCACAGCGACAACAAGTCTGGATTATTGGTACGTCCCCTCCCCCCTCCCCCCCAACCAACAGCCAAACAAACCCCTAACAAAAGAATATGTATAATACAATAGATATGGATCTTCACCCCCACCCTAACCTACTCCAACGCCAGCGCCACCCACCAAATCAGCGCTCAACGGGCCATGAAAGTCTTTTATCAGATCTTGAGCGATGAGAAGGAGATTCAGAGGATGTTGGATGCCGAGGTGGGAAAGGTGGGGGTGGTGGCGGTTGAGGAGGTGAGGTTGTTGGGGGAGGAGGTTGATGGGTTCCAACGGGTTTTGGAAAAGAGTAGGAGTTTGTTGCCGGTTGAGGCGAGGGAGTGGAGGGGGTGGAGGGTTGGGTTGGTGGGGAGGTTTGAGAGGAATATTTCTATTACTACTTAGTAGTACTTGGGGGTTTTGCTTGGTGTATGGTATGGGTATGAGTATGGATTTTTGCTCCTTCTGGTTTGGGGGGAATGGGGTGAGAGAAGAGGAAGGTCAGGGGAGGGGGACTGGAAGTATCGTTGTTCGCTGGAGCTGGCTAGGCACTTAACTTTACACTTTAGATGAGTTGAACTAGACTGTACCGGACTGGACTGAATTGGCAATTGATCTCAGGACAGTGATACCCATCAGTGAGTTAATTAATCTGTCTGTGTTGAGTTGCTCTGCTGAATATACTGACATACGTATAGATCCCTCTCAACACAACCCAGATCAAACGACCATCTCTTCATTTTTCTCCCATACCGCAATGACAACATCAACTCCGGCCTCCACCTCAACTCAACCCGCCCAAACCACCAGCACAATTACACTCACATCCTCACAATCATCTCAACCTCAACCTCAATCCCAATCTACCACCGATGACTCCACCGTAACCTGGGAACACCTCGAACATGCGCCTGCGTCCCCGAAATGTACTGATCATTCTATCGAACAAGTATCCCGTCTTCCGGGGGGAGGTAATCATCGAGATACAGCTGCAGCTACAACTGCAATAGATAGCGGAATGCAGCATCATGATGTGCCTGTGTCGAGGAATGCGCCGGCCATTAGCGTTTTTCCGCCTTCTGCTACTAGGGATGAGAGGTAGAGGACGCTGGTCATGTTGGTTGTGGGGTTTGCTTGAGGTTTCTTTTCTGTCGATGTGTGGTTGTGGACGCTCTGAAGGACGGGTGGAGTTCAGGTATGGATGATACGCTAGGTTCAGGAACGGTGTTTATTGTTAGTGTTACGTGGTTTCCGGGATGCCCTGGTAGGATTCGTGGATCCAGTTGATTATGCAACTATTGCAATGCTATTGCTAGGCCAGACCCGCTGCCATCATGCAGTGATACTCGTCAGATCGTCATGCTCGTGTCTTGATATGATGCTAGTCGAAGGCGAACTCAAGCGGCAGCTAACCCTCAAACGGAGTCTCATACGGCGCTTCGGCCTGCGGTGTGATTCGGGCATGGTGCCGTCTCTGGCCATCCTCCCAGTCGAAAAGTGCCGAGTGCGTAACAACCCGATTCTATACTGGTCAGATCTCAGCCAAGAAAATCAACGGGTGCCACTTACATCCCAAACAACAACGGTTCCAGGGCGCCATCTGACACGTGCCTGGAGATCCTGCGACAGAGCAATGTGGTCGTAGAGGAACTTCAGAAGGTAGTCGGACTCTTCCTTCTTGTAGCCCACAATGTAACGTGTGACTGTATGGATTAGTACCTATGTGGATAAAGGGTATTCCGTACACACGGGGGATGGGACTTACATTGTGGGTTCAAAAAGAGGGCTTTCTCGCCAGTAACCTGATCACTGTTAGACCAGTCTCAATGGCATTGGTGTAGACGTACCGGGTGAGTTCTGACAATCGGATGCTCCGAGGTGATAGGATCACGTCGTGCAATGCCGCCCTTGTTCAGACTGTTGTTGACCTGCTCCACACCAGAGTGGACTGCCTTCAACCCGTGCAGCCGCTTACGGAATTCAGGGGACAGCCGTCGGTATGCCTGCGCCATGTCGGCGAACAGAGTATCTCCGCCACTTGTGGGTCCATCCAGGATGTACAAGAAGGTCGTGCCAGGAGGCTGCTTCTCAAACGTCACGTCAGAGTGCCAAGTGATGGTGTTAGTACGTGTGGCCAAGAATTCGGCGCCACTCCGGTCGTCGGCTCCTCGATGGACAAGGTGGATCTCCGGGTAGCCTTTGGGAGCTCCAGATGTCTGGTGAATATGGTGTCTGCCAAAGTAGCCACCAAACTCTAGGGCCTTGTCGATAGGAAGATGCGCAAAGTCCTGATCACGGAAGGCTGGACATACGTCAGTGGATGGCCTCATCTGCCATGACAAGGGGTGTGTACATACCAACAACCTTCCTCTGAGCTACATAGAGAGCCAGCTGATCTTTCCCTTCTTTGGTGAGCTGGCTCAACTGCACCCCACGTACCTCGGTGCCGATAGTAGGGGTTATATCGTCCACTTCAGCTTTGTCCTTGGGTAGGAGATCAGGGAAGGTCGGATCGGCGTCCTTTCCGTGATCATAGTGCTCGAAAGGCTGGAGAGGTGGGTATCTATGCTTGTTAGGTGAGGATTCCAATATCCAAGGAGACAGTGTACCTTTCGGTTTCGTTGTCCCAGACGGGAAGATAGTTCGGGAACGATGCGGGAGGTTGCTTTTCAGTTCCCTTGAGCTCGCTCTCATGCTTATAGGCTTCCCCATAGCCAATCAAGTTTTCCTTGTTGAAACCAGCATCGGTCTTTAGCGCAGCCTGTGGTGCGGACCGAAGAGAAAGGGGAGTCTCCTCTACCAGAGATGGGGCCATGTCGGATAAATTGGTCAAGTTATGAACACTGCTTGTTGTTGTTCTTGTCATGACACCTTGGCGGACGTCTGTCCATATATATTCCCTGTCATCTTCCGAATATCCGTGCTGTGGTCACGCAATCCCTGCGGGGTATGTTTGACGCCATTTTCGACGTTCAGGAGTAAAGACACCTGCAGCGGGCTTACTTGGAACTCAAACAGGCGTGAGACACGGGTGAGTAGGCCAGCATGACTCGCCTATTCGGTAGGTCGACGGTGCAATGATAATGCAATGATAAAGAACGTCAGCATGGTGGTTATCAATCATCGTGCTGACTCGGTAGCGAGCGGCGACGCAGTTCAACACGTAGTCTGAATGGTCAAAGGAGGGGGTAGTTTATTTTTGGATTTCCCGCGGGTATAATAATGGAGGTCAATTCCGGTTCTGGCAGGTCTCGCGTCAACCCGAGTCGAGGTTGACACGCAGCGGTGATGAAGTAGTGGTTGAGAAGGAGAAGAGGTCGCACAAGTTGCGGGCCAAGCATGGCGTGATAGCGCTTCCCCTTCGCGCAACTCGCCCCAAACAAGGTTGCTCCAGCACTCAACATTTACCCCGCTTGAGGCCTCAAGTTTTATCCCTTTTTCAACATGCGACAAAGATTGGGTCGGGAGCTTCCTAATTCTCATGAGATACCTTCCTGAATACCTCATAATGTAGGGAATAGTCACCGCATCAGGGTCTCTCGGCTGTGCCTACCAGCGTGTCGAGGTACTAAATCATGGCCATACTGATCACCGCGAGGCTTCAAAAACGTTATTCGTATCAGATTGCCCTGCTATGGAGTTGTTTGGGCAGCACCAATCAGCACAGAATCTGATGTTGCCATGTCAAGCCTGAAGCATCCCATCATAATCCAATGCGATGATGAGATCGCGCTCTGGCGAACTGATACAATTCCCCAGCTGCGATTGGCCTCTGAAGTGCCCTGCGGAGATCTGGAGCAGCCGCTAATCTTAGACCCGGCACTTGTCCGTCCACGTTACTTGCTCCTCATAACGTCACTTATGCTTGACTTGCGTGATTCTACTACCCCCCGGTACTTCTCATCAGGCTCGGTCAAGCTCCTATCGACTAGCAATGAAATCGGCAAATTTTCAGACGCTATCTCACTTTCCGACCCTTCGATCATGGTATTTCGAGTGTCTCGCCTGGTTTCTCGGCCGGGTTGACGTTGGTCCCATGAACCCGACCGGCTCCTGTTGCGCATCAATGCGCTCGACGTTCTAGCTTGCTCGATTCTGTCGCTCCTACGACAATTGGCTACGTATAGCTACCCACACCTCAGATGCTAAGACTAAGTGCATCGTGCTGACACTTTACCGAGATATTGCGTGATGGACATCTACTGTTGGCTCCCCGCGATGGACATGTCAAAAAGGTCCCGATTTCTCCCCCTTCACTCTATTTCTCAGCTCCAGCACCAGAGTCCGGCCTGTCATTATCCTTCAGCCATTGATCACCTTGCGACTAAGGCAAGATGACCACAGACGGTGTTAAGGAAGTCCCCACGGACACTGTTCCCGCGAGCGACGACACCAAGAAGACCCCGAATGTCGCCTCGTCATCATCGTCCTCGCTTGCAGTTTCGGAGCACAGGATAGCCAAATACGGATCTGACGGCGCCTTTGATGCGTCAGAGGACCCCAGATTCTACAAGCCCATCCCTGAGTATGAGAGCGCGCATCGCTGGGATCCATACTTTGAATGGACAGAAGAAGAGGAGAAGCGACTGATTAGAAAGGTAAGCCCAGTTGCCCGCGCAACTAATCCTGAAGAACGGCGGTTAAGCGTACAACAGATTGATATTCGAGTTTGCACGTTCGCATGTGTCACTTTCTTCGCACTTCAACTCGACAGAGGCAACATTGTTCAAGCAAATTCGGACACCATGCTTGCGGATCTCGGCATGACGACCAACGATTACAACAACGGGCAAACAATCTTCCTCCTTACATTTCTTTTTGCGGAACTTCCGTCACAGTTGCTTTCCAAAAAGATTGGCCCGGACCGCTGGATTCCCGTTCAGATGGTGGCTTGGAGTTTCGTCGCGGCGTTTCAGGCAGTCCTGAAGAATCGGACGGGATACTTTGTGTGCAGAGCGCTTTTGGGTCTTCTGGAGGGAGGATTGTAAGCCTGGCCACTGAATGCTGGGAAATTCTCTTGCTGATAGTTCACAGCATTGCGGACACCATCCTGTTCCTGTCCTTTTTCTACAAGTCAAAGGAGCTCCCGCAACGGTTGAGTTACTTCTGGGTCTCATATGAGGCCACATCCATTGTCGGTGCTTTCCTCGCCTTCGGTTTCCTTCATATCCACAAGTCCGACGGTGGTGGCGGGTGGCGCTACCTGTTCGCATTCGAGGGTCTCATTACAGGACTGATCGGTATCACCGCTGCGTTCTGGATGCCTGCGTCGCCCACCCAAACCAAGGGTGGCTTACGTGGTAAAGATGGCTGGTTCAGCGAGCGCGAGGAAAAGATTCTCGTGAATCGTGTGCTCCGCGATGATCCCAGCAAGGGAAGCATGCACAACCGTCAAGCAGTCACCCCAAAGATGTTATGGCAGGCTTTATGCGACTACGATATGTGGCCCATCTACCTGGTCGGCCTGACGTGGATGATCCCCAATACACCTGCGACAAACTACATCACTCTAGAGTTGAAGTCCCTTGGATTTGGCACCTTTGAGACGAACCTCTTGACCATTCCCGCCTACGTCATCTTCATCATCAACCTCCTATTCTGGACATGGATCTCGGAGCGCTTCAACCAGCGGTTGCTTCTCGGCGTTGTCAGCGAGCTCTGGTGCTTGATCTTGCTCATCGCTCTCGAGGTCCTACCGGACGGGGCCAGCGCATGGGCGCGGTGGATCATCAATGCTCTGCTGATTGGAGCCCCTTACGTACACGCAATCGTTGTGGCTATGACGTCCCGGAACGCAGGATCGGTCCGCACGCGTACGGTTGCCAGCGCAGTGTACAACATGATGGTTCAAGCATCTAATATTATTGCCAGTCAAGTGAGCGAGCTTACCCCGCACTGCTACTCACCTGCTAATCACCCCTTGCAGATCTATCAAGCGAAGGATAAGCCTTACTATCGTGTCGGTAACAAGGTTCTGATTGCCTTGTCCGTGCTCAGCATGGCTCTCTTCATTGGAGCTAAGCTTTACTACATATGGCGCAACAAGTAGGGCTCAATAGTTCCGAGACCAACATTTACGATACTAACAAGATGATCAGGCGCAACTCTGCCCGTTGGAATGCTATGTCTAGTGCGGAGAGGGAAGAATACCTGGCCGCTAATCAGCACCTTGGAAACAAGCGGTGAGTCCTTTACAGCTGTAACCAAAAGAACCTTTCTAATTATCATACAGACTCGATTTCCGATTTACCCACTAGACGAACAAAATGATGATATACCCAGGTTTAGATGACGACAAAACACATAGAGCTCGATGAGCACCCTACAGGGCGCCATCTGACGTCTATAGATTAGACATAGAGCAACATAATACAATCAGTGGATACCCACATAAAGAGTCATGAATCATGTCCTTTCATGCGATATGCACATGTATCACGTCCCAGTCTACTCTCCAATCACATACTCGCACCCACTGTCGCCAATCCAAACCTCGTGCAGCTTTCCAGCAGGGACATCCACCCTTGCACCGACCCCGAATGTCTCCTTCTTTACCTCCCCATCATACAACTTGGCATTGTCATCCGGGTATGTGATCGTCAGACTCCCCTGCCGTATGAGATGGGTTGTGACACCTCCATGCGAGTGTGGAGAGTAATAGGCATTACTGCAACTTGCATTAGCATCCTTGAGACTGCCTGGGCGGGAAATCGTGGATTCCGAGCATACATATCGAGAAACTTTCATGGCTCATCAAACACATAAGAATGGCAGTCTACTCACCTTCCATCCGACCAGGTAAAGATATGCTTGAAGCCCCAGTCTCGGACTAAGCGCTCGCACTCCTTGCGTGTGCCAATAGGATATGTTTCCGCCATTTTGTTCTCGCAGTAAGGGAAGCAGTGGAATTAAGCGTTCAAGCTGAAGTTTGGAACTGCTGGATGCGATGTGGGGGAGAAGCTATGACGTATCTGGACGACTGAGCTAGACCGGTTTGAGAGTTTAGCAGGGGCTTGAATGCCAGGGTCACGTGTGCATCATGCTGTTTGGTTCTGTTTGCTTTCGATTGTCCCTGCCGACGGCGGACTCCAAGTTCTTGACACGAACGGATCGGTGGTTCTGAGACTGTGCGCTACAAGCTTGGGGCAACTAACCTGAAAAGATTGGTTACTTTGAACTAGTTTACGTGACTCTGATTGCTAATCCGCCCATGCTTAGGAATGGCTTCCACTCCTTTCCCGGCCACCACTGACCACAGAAATTCCAGTTCACTCTATAATCATGAAGACTCCTGAGTGAACTATGGAGGAAAGGTATTCCTTTCCGAAATCCCCAGCTCGGACTGGATTACAGCAAGCAAAGTACTGGCCTAAGCCGATTCAAAAGCTTCCTAGAGAAAGTACAAACCCAGCCGAGGCATGGCTGCCAGCAATTTCAGTTTACGAGGAAGCCTTACTCCGTACTCCGTACTCAGGCTGAAATAATCGATGGGTTAGAGACGATACACAATTCTCGGACAAATTAGTACTGCTAGCGACGCGGGATAATATTGCCATTTGCCTGGTCTCCCCCGAGGCCGTTAGATTAGCACTAGGCCACTTAGCCCACGCCAACGCTTTAGCTCAGGACACCTGGTGGGTCACCATTGATAGTGGAACACCCAGGATTCAATGGAGCTCCTCATGATGGCCAACCGAATCGAATGTGAACCAGCTGCATTTGGCCTGAAGTTTGTCAGCTGCATGAGTCGCTTCTAGGCCACCCCTAACCCCCTGTCGATGACTGGCCTGAAGGGCAGAGTTTCCCCTCTGGGAATTCGTCAGGGTAATGGTGGGTTGGCTAACGCGGATGCATGATCCACGGCCTCTAGAAGATTGAATAGAAATACACCAGACGACCCTGGTTTGAACGATCAATTCTCTGGACGACTCAGTGCACACCCACACTTTCATACCAGACGAAGGGCACCAACAAGATGCCGGACAGTGTTGAAATGACGGCCACCAAAGGTGGTGGCAATATTTCCACCACTTTTGATGGAGATGGGTTTACCAAAGGGTCTGTGGCCCAGAAGTATATCGGCACCATGGCCGATCAGAGAGATATGCAAGCTTTGGGAAAGGAACAAGTCTTGAGGGTTCGATGCCTTCGTCCGATGCATATACGTCGGTTCTAATGGCATCTTTAGAGAAACTTTCGCTTCATCTCGATCGTTGCCTTCGGCTGTACTCTGATTGCTTCATGGGAGGTTGTGCTGACGTAAGTTGTCCTTGCGCCTGGTTGCCAGACTCAGTCTGCTGATATCGATCCAGTATGATGAGCTCGCCTTTGGTCGATGGTGGTACTGCTGGTTTTATTTGGGGATTTGTGGTGGTTACGGTTGGCGTGCTGCTGCTATTTGCCAGTCTGGCGGAAATGGCTTCCATGTAAGTGCAACGCCTTAACCTTAACAGGTCGATCTCATGTTGAGATCTGTATAGGGCACCAACCGCGGGTGGCCAGTACCATTGGGTCTCCGAATTTGCTCCTAAGAGCTGTCAGAAGTTTTTGAGCTATATCACCGGTACGCGCTGCTTCTACTTCATCATCAAGGCATCTTAACCAACAAGCCCGATCGCATATAGGCTGGCTGTGCGCTACAGGCTGGGAATGCGCCATTGTGTCGATTGCTTTCCTGGCAGGCACCATCATCCAAGGACTCGCTATTCTGAACTACCCCGATTACGTCTTTAAGCAATGGCATGGCACCCTCATCACCATTGCGATCACCCTCTTTTCGGTTCTCTTCAACACCTTCCTGGCCAAGAAGCTCCCTCTTGTGGAAGCCTTCATCTTAATTCTGCACGTCGCGGGTTTCTTCATTGTAATCATCCCACTCTGGGTGCTGGCACCCATCAGTGACGCCAAGACCGTTTTCACGCAGTTCACCAACGGTGGCGATTGGAATAGCAATGGCACTGCCACGATGGTCGGTCTGATCACAGCACTGACAGCCATGATCGGCTACGACTGTACTGTCCACATGTGTGAGTGGTCTCTTCTTGTGCCGGCTCAGCCATACATGCTAATACAAAACTCCAGCCGAAGAAGTCCGGGACGCTTCCACGACCATTCCCAAGGCTATTATGGCGGCCTGCTCGTTGAACGGAATCCTGGCCTTTATTGTCATGGTCACTCTGTGCTTTACCCTGGGCAACGTGGATGAGGTCCTCGCATCGGACACCGGCTATCCTTTCATCCAGGTCTTCTTCAACGCGACTAAAAGCTACGCGGCCACTAATGCAATGACCGCCGTTGTGACCATGTCTCTTATTTCCAGTGTGATTACTGAAGTCGCCACTGCTTCCCGTCAGCTCTGGTCATTTGCCCGTGATGGGGGCGTCCCACTCGCTAGCTATTTCGGTCATGTATGGTCCACCCGTTAATTAGCTTCAGCTGAATACTGATGCACCACCTCCCCCCGCAGGTCAACCCGAACTGGAACATTCCCCTCAACGCTGTCATTGTGTCCCTCGTCCTCACGATCCTTTTGTCCCTCATCAATATCGGCTCCACCGTCGCCCTTGATGCCCTGATCACTCTCACCGTCGGAGCGTTGTTGAACTCGTACATCGTCACCGTCTCCTGTATTGCGCTGAAGCGCATCCGCGGGGAGCCTCTTCCTCCGCATCGGTGGTCGTTGGGTCGCTGGGGACTCTGGGTCAACCTCGGGGCCCTCGCCTTCCTCATCCCGGAATTCATCTTCGTCATGTTTCCGCTTTACTCGACTGTGGATCCCACGACGATGAACTGGAGCTCGCTCATGTATGGTGGCATGTTGATTTTCTCCATCATCTATTATCTGTTGTATGGGCGGAAGACGTATGTGCCGCCCGTGGCTCTGGTCCAGCGTGAACTATGATTCGGTCGCTCGTCTATCCTCTCGTGCTTGGCCACGCCACCTCTTTCCATTTCGGCGACTCTGGCTCCTGGACAGGACCTGCCGCTGATTGTCTCCACTGCGCCAGCCTATGTTTAGTTGGCTTCACCGGTGCCCCTGCTTCGCCGGATCAACGGAGTGGGAAACTATGTTAATTAACCATTCATATTTCGAGATGACGGTCGGGATCATGATCCTTCCGTGGCCTGCCTACAGCCACAGCAATACAGCGTTAATATTGAGACTTCACCGTATAATTTGGTCCTTTCTCCACTGATAAGACTACGAAACTCAAATCAACCGAATTTGATTGCGTCTGGAACCAAATTTATATTCCACGCCTCGGGGGGGGTCCGGACCGGATCTTGTTCGCCAAACGATCCGCCCGCGGCCCACCAGGAAGCTTGCTGGCGCTCCTCCCACCAACCCTAACTGGTCTGGGCAAATCCCCCGGCGATCTACACCGGCGCCGGTCCAAAATCGCTCCCCGGAGCGCTCTGCAGTGGATCGCAAAGGATGCCCCGGCCGGCTTGGTCCTACACCAGTCAGCACTATCTACGTCTCACGCAGCCACGCTCCGGAGCCAGGCTGCAACCTTATTAACTCTGGAGTTGCTATCCGCGAGGCCACCACCTGCTTCATTTACCTTGATAACAGTGAAACATTGCTCATATGGCTGCGGCGGATTACCTCAGTTTATCACTAGTATGGAGTAGCGGCAGCCTAGTCGAGGCGACTGCACCTAGTCCATAGTGGTCTGCGACATGTGCGATGTGATTGCTTACTCCAATCATACTAGACCCCAAGGCAATATACACACCCCTGTACCTGTTATTCCCTCTGGCGAATAAGGTTCTCATCGTGCAGGGGGAAACCTATCTCGACTAGCCCGATTTCCGAACATCAGCCGGGATGAGCGAACTCCTTCCATCAGTCGGGAACTCAACCCTGGCTGATTATGAGGCTGGCCCAACGAATCCTTCCATGCATTCCACCTGCCCCCTTTGCGCTATCCCTGGGCTAACAGCAATTCGCGTCCTGGCCAGCGGCGGAGTCCAACCGAGTCATCCTGGATAACCTATCTAACCTAGTCCTCCTGGCCTTGGGCCCGACGATGTGGTATCCTGTCTTTATGTCCGCTGAAAGGAATACCCTAATGCCCTGCATGCATGTTTGCATTAATCTACTCAATCTTTATAGTCGGGTGACCCCTGCATTAGGGGATCTCACCCTGGACTTTCTGTTCTTCCAGAAGGACACGAGACGGTAGGTGGCGCTCACATCCGCTGGTTGGTTTTCCTCTGTACTCTTGGGTCATGATGAGTGCTGGGAAGCCCCTGGTGGTCATTGATGGGAGCCACCATGCCGGAATCGTGATTGTCGTGGGGACGTTGGCCTTGATCATGGCGTTGATCTGTTTGGTCATCCGCGTGTATGTCAGGACATTACTGAGCCCGGGATTTGGACGAGATGACCATCTGTTGTTCGTTGCTACGGTAAGCCATAACTGTCTTCATCTTTCGTCAAGCTGAAGACGCATGAAAGCCTAATTCTAGGGATTTTATAGGCATTTTCAATCATCCAGACCTCGTTAGTAATGTCAAACTCTGCCAAGGGGTTTGGGACATCCATCGACCTTCTTTCTTCCGATCAAGTCGTGAAAGTTCAACAGGTATGTGGGGTCAGAGGCCAAGGAGAGGACACAGCATTGATCAAGCAATCCATTCACACAGACAACCGCTGCCACCGATACACTTTTCCTGATCACCGTCTTTCTATCCAAATGCTGCGTGCTCGGGATGCTCTGGCGGCTGACTCCTCAGCGCGTCCATCATTTGGTTCTTCACGGTATCTTAGGACTAAACATCTTCTGGGTGCTGTCCTCAATTCTGATCCTCCTGATCAATTGTGAATTGAACCGGCCATGGGCAAGGCCTGTGGATCACTGCAGTGGCTTGGTAGGTGTTTCACTCGCGTTGCTTTTTGGCATCTACTTACACATCTTAGTTCGAAAAATGGGAGTACGTTGCTGTGATGGACAACATCATCGAGATGATGCTCTTCTTGTTTTCGTTGCTTCTCGTCAAAGGTCTGCAGATGCCGACGACCCGAAAGTTCATCGTTCTATCCTCCTTCGCCGTTCGGTTGCCGTGAGTAGCCCTATTTGTGCAATAATTTACAACTCTAACTGAAGCCTGTATTAGACTCATTGTCTTCTCGTCTCTACATCTATACCATCTCAATAAATACGCCTACTCCTCAAACCCTACCTTTGACATCATCGACGGCTACGTCTGGACCCAAATGGGCATGAACTACTCTCTCATCGTGTGTACGGCCTTCTGCCTCGCCCCCTTCATGCGCGCCATCAGCGTCACATACGGCAACGCAGGGGAGGCCACACTGGGCACCAGCAGTGCCCAATCGAGGTCTGCCAAATACGCCCGGGAGCTATCCAAACAGTCGCAGAGCTACGTCTTGCAGTCCATGGACAATCATGAAGAGGCTGGCCACGGATTGAACCCGCGACATTCACAACCTACCTTTGCACCGGAACCAGCCGGTATCGTCACTGCGACTGCGTACGACGGGGGGAGTAAAATGACCGACGGGGATAGCGTGACCAGTACGGATAGCACGAAAATGATCATCAAAAAGAACGTTGAGTATTCTGTCACTCATGAGCTGAGATAATCTAGCTAGATTTCATTTGTTCCTCCGCAGATAGGCTGTCTCTCAGTAATCCAACCACGAGGTTTCACCATCCTCGTATCTTCCTCCCAATATATACCCCAAGTCAACACCTGTGACAGAGTCCCCTAACTCTCGCTCTCATAGGCCCCTCTGTCTATACAACACGAGATGGCTTCATCTTCCCCATTCAAACTGGACAGCACCATAAGACCCATCATCTTTACTTTCCCCTACACGAAACACGGACCCCTGTCCATACTTATCAACTCCAACCCATGCCCCATGCGCCACATACCCAGTCATCCTCCTCAGTTTTGCTCACCTCACCTCACCTAGTTTTAGCGCCCTCCCTCCCCCCTTATCTCCCTCCGTGAGAAAGATAGCCTAGTCCACTCTACTAAATCAATCCAGCTTAGTTTACGGAGTAGTCTCCTACTAATTTCTCACTCCAGATAAGCAGTTGATAGTGCTAGCCCCCTGCCCTGCTGCAATAGAGGATACTCATAGATAACCATGCATGCATCCCTGTCGACCGTCAGGGTCTATCTAAGGGGTTACCGAGGACTAGGTACCGATCGCGCCGTCTAGGTTTCTAATCCCTAAGAGGAGTACTAGTTAGAATCCGGCGCAATCTTACGACTTGCTGGCGGAATCGGAAACTCTGACTGCAGTGGGGTATGTATGGTCTGTCGGGCTTGTGTGTCAGGTGCTTGTTTATCTTGCTTTAGCGGCTCGTGATGGGTGGAGGGAAAGGAAAGAAGGGTAGGTATATTCTGAGTCGTGATTATTACTTCACATGGCATGAAATAGTGGTTATAGTACATGTACATCAGTTAGTGACAGCATGACAGCTGTCGATTAATCCTTCAAGATTGCTGATATGTCAAACCGCGCCGGGGTGGAATAGCTGCTGATCTCATTCCCGAGCAGATTCCAGTGGGCCAGACAGTGCGCGATGCTGCCGTGCCACCTGCCAGACGCGTTGCCGCTCTCGGTATGGACCTATATTCCATCACGGGGTGTCCTGCTGGGTCCTGGCCGGTCCCAACAAGCCACATACCGGGATTACATCACTTATACTCGAACATCACAGGGGTTCCTTGTCATCCGATCAAGCTTCCGGGAGTCCCTTGCTCGGGTCCTGTTTTTGACCCTTCCAGCCAATGTATGGCCACCCTTTCGGAAGAGAAGAGTATGGCGGGAGAACATAGCGACCAGCGCAATCTCCCTCAGTCGGACAATCTAAATCGCACAGCCCGAAGACTTTGCAGTAGCATTCCTCTGCCGTCGGGCAGTAGACCGGGCCCTTGCCAAAAATCACTGCTACCGTTAGCCATCCATCCATCATCGACTATCATTCAACCCTGAAACATACTGTGCCAGGAATATTCCATGATGCGTCCACTGAGAGCATCTGGCAGTGTCGTCTCGGCCAGCCACTTCCGGTACCGCACGTAGTCGCTCTTTGGCCGCTCGCGGATCTTCCAGCTCGTCACGGCAAATTGGGCGCAACATGAAACCCCCACTTCGTCGGGAACCTCGGCCCCCGGGAACAACTCCATGAATCCGGTCTTGAAATATTCCCCGGCGTGGACATCGCTGCGATGCGAATCCGTGAGCGGGTGAATTTCCGCCGGGCATCCCAAGACCCAAGCACACCGCAGATTCACATAGCCTTGTTTCTGTAGGTAGGGAACCTGGAAGTTGCGGAGGACGGGCACGCCATCGTAATAAGGGTCGTCGTTGTGCCATTGATATCGTTCGGGATGAATGAAGAGGACTGAGTCGGGCAAATTATCGTAGTTGTCAATTATATACCTGGAGCTGTGAGCTGGGTCCAGCACTTCCCTGGAGCAGGGCGAGGTGATGATGATGGAAAAACTCACGTCAAATACACCATGGATTCCCTCCCCTTATTCAAATCGACCGTCAATTTGGCATTCCTGTCATCCACCACATGTACGCTCTTATGCCACTCGGGAAAATATTCGTACAGCCATGAGACGTCGTCGCCCTTTAGACTGGCCACCACCATCTCCTTGGTGAGAGTCTGGCGCTGTTGCGCAGCGGCCGACGCGGACGGGGAAGCCTGCCCCGACCGCGAGTCCCGAAGCGGGCCTCCCTTGACCACATCCTGAGCAGACGTTTCAGCCCGTTTCGGATCGGAGCTCCCGGCGAAAAAGAGGAAGTAGAGGGCGTAAATGATGAGGATGGTGCAGAGGATGGCTTTTTCTTGATTGCGCCGGCGCGGACTGTTGACTCCGCCGCGGAAGAATAACATGACGGGCAACGGCGGGCGGCGGACACGGCAGGAGGTCGGAGGTCGTAATCATATGCTGCTGGAGGGATGTATGCCAGGAGTCAATTGTGCGTCAATTAGAGTGACGGGGCAGGGAACATGGCTGCACGGCGGGCGATCGCTGACGGTCGGTGAGAGGAACGGCGGTTCGAGGGTCTCCGTATCGGGAGAAATTGCGCGGTGAAGGGGAGGAGATGTCGGCCGCGGAATGAAGAATAGACCACGGAGGCCCAGAGGCGGTTACTGGCGCCGGGGATGCGACAGCTGGCAAGATTGAGGGTGTTGTTGGAGAGAAGTGAAGATGGCAAGTGGAGGTCCTCCACACGTGCGGCCGACGGCCGACTAACCGCTACGTAATGGGATTGGCTCGCGGGCTTCGTTTTTACAACTCGAAACTGGATTCCTGGAGGCCAGCATTCCTGCCGTTCAAACCTGGCTTGACGTTGCTTTTCTGGCTGATCGGCCTGGGCATCGGAAGACATCAATTCTATCTTAGTACTCCGTATTCCGTAATTTTAAGGCTACCCCCAATACCGCAGGACCAGTACGAAAGATACACATGATGCTTATATAATCATTGTAGGCTATTTATTGTTAACTGCCTGCTACATGGTAGTACTATACATGTTCTGGATTTCTTGAATGATCCGAGATCAACATGTTAATGTTAAATCAATTCCCCAGACATTCCGAGTATCAGTCTCGGGTAACACCTACGACAGCAATTTATGGTGTGCTATCTCGAAGACCACATAAGTAAAGCACAGCTACAGGTCTATAATAGAGCACCTGGGGACATGGCAAACGGAAAACCTCTTTCATCTCATTCTTCCACCAGTTTCCAGTTCTATATTCCTTCTATCGTTTGATCGAGATGGTTTGCAAACTGCACGTCATTTTTTGAGTATCGAGTCGATGATTTACTGCTGAAATATGCAATTAGAACGGCCAGTACGGCTCCAAAGCCTTTCCATCCACAGTCAGCTGTCTAGCTGGAAGCATAACCGAAACAAGTCGAGCCCACTGATCCGACTCATTCGCCCAACTGTGCATCGTGCCTCGCTGTACCGTCGTATCCCCCTCAGCGAAAGTAACCCGCTTACCATCGTCCAAAGTCAGAACCACCTGCCCCCGGAGAACCACGATATAATCTAATGTGACAGTGCGATGCATGGGGCCTTGATAGCGGGGCGGAATGTCGTAAGTGTTGAAAACATTCCCTTTGAATCCATCTGCGGGATCAGGGACCTTGTTCGCATCACCGTCAATGCGAGCAGGAGTGTCACTTGAAGACCATAGTGCATTCAAGAACGTTCCGTCGCCGACAGGGGTTGCCTGGTTGGAGGTGTCTTTCAATATGATTGCGTTGCCTTTTTCATCGTGGCCGGTGACAACAGTGCGAGTGTCGCTCATTCGAGGAGGCAGAGGATCAGCCATTGGGGCAAGCTATATCTCCGTTATTGTTAGCGCTGGGATAAGGCATTGGAGAATATTCAAACCCGTAGCTCACCGGGACAGCACACTATGCAAGGTTGAAGCTATGTACTTGACAGCTTCTGCAGCAGAAGAATCAAGACGATATAGTTCTGACTATAGCAGTGGGGTCGGAGAAAGCAATAAAGTCCGGTAAGTCCGTGCCAGAGCCTGACCCCACCTGGGACAGCTTTCCTCCCTGATTTACTGCCCTCATGCCATTGGAACTTGTCATGAATAATGATTCTTTCCCCGATATGTTGTGGGCGATCCGGGGTCCTCTCTTACATATTATACCACCCATTTGCAGGTCGGACCAACGGGGCAGGAAGTGACGACTATCATATCAACTCCCTGTCTGCTATGATGCTAAGACTTTGTGAAGAATGTCTCAACCGGTGGGACGTTTCGCTGTATAAAGGCAGTTAATGAGGGGGCCGGGAATAGCGGACATTATGTCCGGTCAGCCAACAGCAAAGGCCCACTGGTCTTGCCGAGATGGTGATCCCAACACTCTTCAGGTCCCTCGAGGCACACCTTGGGCTCCCCGACTATCCCTTCTTGATTGGTCCTTATTGACATATCATTTTGATCATTGTATTTCTCTCCACTTCACAGCTTTGGCTCACCACATCCTTCGCCCAGGTTGACGGAGCAGTGCGAAAGGCAACCAAAGCGCAGGAGTAGAACACCGATTCTGATACCTTGGCGGCTTTGATGTGGTATCATAATGCAGGCTGCGCCATTGGGAAGCATTGAATTCAGATATACACTACCAACAGGGAGTGGTATATACACGCCTATAAGAGGCATTCGGAAATGCTGAAAAAGTACCACAGATGAGCCAGAACGCTCTCAATCGCCTCTCCCGCATTTCCCTTGGTCGAGTTGATTCCCTCGATGATTTCAATGTCCGACGACGCAACCGTGTCCCCATCCCCGCTGGTGATCCAGTATTCCGGACTGGGCTGACTGTATCCAAACAGCATTGGTGGCACTCTGGGAACAATGTCATTGGTGTGAGTGACGCGGTAGTTCGCCCCAGACCCCTGGCTGGTGATGTACTCGGCCAACTCATAGTTTCCGACCCGGGGACATCCATAGGTATACTACTCCAGTCAGCACTGATCTATCCTATTCTTCTGCTCAGACACTCACCAACTGGACGGTATGCCCGGCATTGCGCAGCACCGTGGCCCCAATAGTAGCCAGCGCACCGCCCAGACTATGTCCGGTAAAGAAGAGGGAGTAGCCCGAGTATGTGCTCAGCGCGGAATCGATCTCGCTCGTCAGATCGTCCGCAACTTGCTCCCATGCCTTCCACCAGCCGCTGTGGACATAGCATCCGCTGCAAAGGTCGTCCGCTTCCTCGAGAATGAAGTCGAGGTTCGCGATCCAGTTCTCGATCGTGCTACTTCCACGGAAGGATACTACCAGTCGCTCGTTGGTGCTGTCTACGGCAAAGAAGCCGGCCGTGTCGCCGTAATCGTTCGATCTGTCAATTAGCTATGTTCGGATCTCAGGGCCCGAGCGACTTACAGATCGAATTCAAACAGCATCTTGGTACTGGCTGCTTCAACAGATGGGCAAGCATCGTCAGAGCATTTCACCGTGGTATCATCGTTATCGATGTTGGCCGAGCAATAGGCTGCGGCAGACCATTGCGCGAACAGATCCAACTCATCCAACACGGAAGTCGAGACATCTACCCCATCAGTATCATCCACCAGTTCAGATGGGGACACGCCTTACCTCGAATATCAATCGGCTTTGCAGCACTCAGCGCAGCGAGCGCTGCCACCACACTGAACCAGCTAGAATGCATCCTGCCGTATATATACAATCGGAGAAACCAAGGAACTGATCACCAACGACCTCTGCAATGCTCGGACTGCTTTCTTCCCACCCAACCTACCCATCCCCAGCCCTCCTTATATACCCATCCATACCCACTCCTCTTCACCCCAGGCACCAGACAAAGCCAGAAGCGGGGTAAGTCAGACAACTGTCTCCGATTTCTTCACGATGGCTGATGAAGCCAGCATGCCTCTGCCTCATCCCTTGTTCCGGTCCGGTGCCTGAACGTCTCAGTAACTCCGGGCGGAACGCCGGTGGAGATGAACGGCTTGTCATAGCTGCAGGTATAAGGATAGGGAGCCGAAAAGTTTAATAAAGTAGCAGGATGCCGTGTTGGGGGATCTACTGGCGGACAAACGCGGAGAGGTGGACTCAGCCCTCTGCACATGGACTAGAGGGTGTTATCATGGGGAGAGGCCGAGGTCCATTGCGCTGATATACTGTGTAGCTAGGCTGGAAGTTCTTCACATGCGGTTCGCACTGACTACGAACACATATGGGACGACGGTGATTTGGTGGTGGCTGTTTGTTGTCACTTGCCGATCAGCGAGCATGGCGCGTAGTCGAGCCATACAGGATGACCGAACCCAAGTACATACTGTACTCGTACTCGTATGCCTTTCAAAAGACTGCAGCATCCTACCCTTCATATACCCTCACAAACAAGAAAAAGAAAGAAGAAGAAACTCCCAACAAAATCCTCACCAAACACTCGTTATCCAACTCCCCCAACCAATCAACAAAAACACAATCAAAAGCAACCACACTCACTCAAGTACGGAGTACTCCGTACTAGTAACTCAACTACCGGACCCCCACAACTAGCCACCTACATAGTACACGGCACTAGATACCCCAGTCCCAGTTCCCCGTAGTTCCGGCACTTCCCCTCTTCATCCCCACCCATTAGCATCCCAAATCCCAATAGTCACTCCTCACTCACTATGCAGTCTACACTAGACCAAATCCCTAGTGAAATCCGGTAATCGCCTTACCAGACTACGCCTTCCCCGGGAGCCTAGTTATAGTCCCAACTACCAAAACCACACCAACACCCGATTCGAATTTCTCGTTGGCCAAACTAACCCATCCTCTACCGGTGTGGGCTGCGAACTGCAGGCTGCGGGGTGCAGACCTTACTTACTACCCTGTCATATAGCCTGGGATTGAGGGACGGACGGAAAACCGCGGTTCCGAAGCGCATTATGGGGCCTTCCTTCCTTCCTTCCTTCGGGAATTGGGATCACATGTTATATTGGGTTGGTGGTTATGGGTTCCGGTTGCGGGTATGTCTTAGTTTGAGGGATATATTGTTCTTTGATAAGTGATGACTAGCTGGGTATATTGGTGGCTGTTGTGGGATGGTAGTTGTGGATTGTGTAGTGTAGTGTGATGGGTTGGAGGTGGCAGGCAGGTGACTTTAGTTTCACGGGTGCCTGGGTGTGCCAGTGTGTGCCAGTGTGTGCGTGTCTGCATGTGGTGATCTGCATGCTAGGTACCTTTTAGGTAGATGGTCTGCGTGGAGGGACTTGGTCGGGCGATTCCTGCCGATACTACGATTACTCTACTATATTATGGCACACTAACCGGGTTGGTACATGTCTACGACGAGGTAGTACTTGATGGATATTGACAGTAATAGCTCACAAAAAAAAAAGTAGCAAATAAAACAGCTCGCTCCTCAGACGCCAGTCAGAACAAACAAACATCATGTCTTTTGAATAGAATAATGGAATAGGAAAATCACCCGAGGAGATCAGCAGGGGAGTAGGTGGTAGGTAGGTAGGTGTCCACGGGGAATCATCGGACAATTCCTTTCAGACCAGCACACGCATCCTGCGTCTGACAATCTACGCACTAGCTCCGTTCTCACCCTCGGCATTGTAGTCTGTCATTCCCTCATCCTGTCCATCGCCGCTCTCCCCGGCCAGCACCTTGGTCCGGGGAATCTGATGCTCGGGCAACGGCGTCCCCGGCGTCGCTGCAACCACGTTATCATTCTCATCCACGAACTCAAAGTTGTATCTCGACAGCAGATGCGGGATGGCCGAGAGCTGCGGACCATATCGTGCCGTGTTGTCGTATAGTTCGAACAGTGGGACCGCGAGGAGTTTCATGTTCTTCGGGACCGAGAGGACCTCTGCAATCAAGTCAATACCCGCACTGACAAATCACAAACCCAATAGTATGAGATGAAAAAGGAAGCTTACTCTTCTTGGGCAACTGAATAAAATACAACTTCTTGCACTCCTTCGGCCGAGTCACATGTCCCGGCAGGAACGGGTACATGAACGTCTCGAAATTCGGCCGCCACCATTGCGCCAACGTGTCACCAATCTCCCAGTCTTCGTTGACACCTTCGCCCGAGAACTGTGAGCCGACCGGCGCAAGACGCTCGTTGAGTCGTTTCTTGAATCCTTCGACTTCGTCGTCCTCGAAGTGGAGGTAGTCGCCGGGCCTAGATACCAACACAATTAGAAGGATTCCAAGCGGTGAGGACGTGGGACATACAGCTTGAAGAACGCGTTGGCAATTTGCAGCATCAGCACGTGGGGATGGTTGTGTTCGTGACAGACGAGGACACCCTCGCAGGTGCGTCTCATGCCATGTTCCTCGTAGTGCTCCTCCAGGCGTTTTAGACGCGCCAGCACCGAGGGGTCTTCCTCTGGTTGGGTCTCCTTGGTGCCGAATGTGTAGTTGGAGAGGGGGTACAGGCGGATGGTTTTGGGTTGTTGCGCGGAGAAGTCCTTGGGGATGATGGGGCTGTTCATGGTCAGTGTTGGCTGCGTGGAGCAAGAAGCGGTAGTGAGGTCGTTGTGAGGACGTACGGGCGAGAGCTTTGAATCGCCGTCGCGGTGGTGGTCGACATCTTCGCGGCCAAAATCAATGCGCAGCAAGTGAATGGTGCAACGAGTGGACGGGCTGAGGGTCAGGTACTACTAGTCGTAGTAGTGAAGCTTCCGGTGATGGATCGGAGCTGAGGCGGAGCTGCCTCGCCGTCGGAGCGCCCCGCGAAAACATTCGACCGCCCCGATGGCCAGCCACGCCATCAGTCAACTATCCCAGTTGCTCGTCGAGACAACAGGAGAAATCATATCAAATCATTTTTCTATTTCCGGTAATTCGTATCCAATAATTCTAACTACGATCGCCATCAACCCCAAAACACGCTGCTCCCATCCGTCCATGCAACATGCAACATGCAACCCACGCCAATCCAATCCCAACATAAGAGCATCATGTCTATCAGTACGGTAATCTGCCGGACTGTTTATCCAAACCATGTATTTCTAGTTTATAGCTTGGCGTCAAAGTCCTCGAACTCGCTGAGGTCCGTCACCGGGCTAGGTCCAGCGCTGACGGCCAGACGAGCCTTGAACTCGGCGACGCTGCTGATGTAGGTGGGGTGCTGGTCGTCAGCCGTGCCATTGACAACCCCGTTCGACTTGGCGGCATCCCCATCGCTCTTAGTCTCAATACCAGCCTGTTTCAGTTGGATACCCAGGTTGGCCTTGACCTGCTCGAGGAGCGGCTTGGTCTGCTGCTCAGACAGATTCATACCAGATTCCAAGAACGCCTTCAGAGTGGCCAGAATCTGGGCCTCGTCGCCGCTGGACACGTCGACATTCTCAAAGGCAGCGCTCAACCGATCCGTGTCCACGGCAAAGCCCGCTGCCTCCAGCTGCTTTCCGAAGAGCGAAACCAGCTGGGTCTTCTGCTCCTGAGGCTTCGTGGCATGCGCGTGAGCACCGGCCTGGGCTTTGAGGTGAATCGCCAGCTTAGCCCGCGTCGGGGACTGGGGGTCGACAAACTGCTCGTAGAACTGCAGAATGTCGGCCTTGGTCAAAGTCCGGACATTCGCGGCGTCCTTTTCGTTCTGCACGAAATCAAAGTATTCCGAGCCAACATGAGACCAGAACCGGTTGGTCTCAGAGCCCAGGTTCTTGAGCTTTTCCAACCTCTTGTTCACAACACTGCGTTTGTGGCTTTCAAAGTCTTGCTCCGACATGTTCTCGATCGACTTCTTGAAAGCGGTCAAGAAGGCGTCAATGCGGGACTCGAGGTAGGGAGCAGTGCGCTCACTCTGGATGATGACGCGGTAGCCCATGGTCGTTGCAGAGTAGCGGGCGCCACTCCAAACCACGTAGCCAAGCTGCTCCTTGCTCCGCAGTTGGTCAAATGCGGGTTCATCCGTCATTTGAGCCAAGAGCAGAAGCTTGGCCCGCAGAACGCTGTCGTCGAGATTGCCAATGAACAAGTAGTACTCAATGCAGTGGTTGACATTGGCGGGGTCCTTCAGGGTACGCTCGTAGATGTAGTTGGCCCCAGGAGGAAGAATCATGTTGCGCCGGACGTGCCACTGGGGCTCGGGCAGAGTACGGCTCTGGAGAGTCGACTCCACCAGGTCGGTCATGCGAAGTGCATCTTCCTTGTACAGGTTACCGTGAGCGAGCACCTCAATGTGGTTCTGACGGAGGATCTGAGGGAAGAAGCAGGATACGTCCTCGGCCTCAATGTGCTCCAACTCGGCCGCATACTGCTCGTTAAGCCAGGTCCGTTCCGCAGTCAGGTAGCGAGTGAAGTCGCCGACCTGATAGAAGGGCTGCTGGTACTCGGCGTTCTTATAACCCCGAGTGAGACGCTCTTTGATAATGCTGAAACGATCGGGCTTGACGACCAAGTCCCGCATGCTCGTAAGCACCTTCTCCAGGAGGACCGACATCTTGTCATTATATCCACCAACCGTGATGTCAAGACCGAAGATGCTGGCAGACAACTGATAGTCGAGGCCAGCCAGCTCGGCGTCGTAGGAGTACTCGGTCAGAGCATCACGGACCAGCTCGCAGTAGAATTTGGTCTTGACAAGATTGGCCGGAGTAGCCCAGACCAAGGGATTCCTCAATGTGACATGAACGGTCGCCTTGGGGACCCAGAAGCGGTCATCCTTCTTGTACCACAGGCGGACATGGTCGTCGTGACGGATCAGCTTGGGGGTCTTGGCCGGCTCGGACACCTCCTTCTTCTCCACGGAGAGCCTGGTTGGAACGAACTCGTTCTTGTGGGGCATGTGGAGTTCAGGCAGGCGACTCTCCGGGGAGGTCTCCGCAGCCTTGCGGATGCTAGCCATGAAATCTTCCGGGATATCCTCGATCTTGTACTCCGTTCCGTACCACTTCTCCCGGCAGTTCCAGTCCCCGGGGTAATCCTGGGCGACGATAACCATTCGGAAGTTGTCAGGTCGGAGGTACGACAACGCCTTCTTGACCAGCTCGGGCTCGAACTTCCGCAGGAGATTGCCGCTGAGCAGCCACTCTCGTGGGTACGGCTTCTGCATCACACTGCTCAGGCGACTGGTGAAGCGACTGGCAGGAGACTTTTGCTTGAACCGGAACTCGACCTCGGCCAGGTTCTTCATCTCATCGAAGATCCACTGCTGAGGCTCCCCCTCCTTGATCATGGCGATATATTCAAACACCGCCTCGGTGACCTCCCGGTGTTGTTTCAGTCCCTCCGGAGTCAACCGAATCGAGATGGTGAAGAAAGCGGATCCGGGACAGACAGGCATCACGCCTGCGGACAAGCCGTTGGCCCAACCCTTCGCTTTGATGTAGGAGAGGATACTGCCTGGGCCTTCGTGGCCAATCAGGTGGCTAAGGTAGCGGCTCGGCTGGGACTCGTACATTGACTCTTCGTCCATGAAGGGGAAGTAAATGTCGAGGGAGCGCATATCCATGACGGGTTTGGCGAAAATCTGCTTTCCGAGGTGCTCCGGCGTCCAGGGCTGGGCGTCATCCCAGCGGTTCTGGGGAAGGTCCTGGTTCTTCACATCAGAGAACAGCTCGCCGACCCACTGTTCCATCTCATCGAGAGAATCCCGGCCCAGCACCACCAACTTCATAAGGTTGGACGAGTAGTGCGCCTGATAAAACTTGATGAACTCACTGCGAACCTCCAGTCCCCGCTTTTGCGGCTCCTCTTTCAGAGTCTGCAGGTTTCCGGTGGAGAAGTGGTGGTACGGATGGGCGGGGTTGGACAAGGACTTATTGAGTTGCATGAGACGCCACAAGTCACTCTGCAAATTCTTTTTGTTTTCGGAGTCTACGGCGCGCAGCTCACGGTCCAACGTCGACTCCAAGAAAAGTGGCTCTACGAAGAACTGCGCAAACCGGTCCAGAGCACCGTATAAAGGAGATTCGGGTGATTTCGACTCGACGGTGCCGTTCGATGATCCATTGGTAGCGGCTTGGTTGGGTGTTTCGTCGGTAGAGGCAGGCGTGGCAGAAACCTCGAAAAAATAGTTGGTCTCCGTAGCTGCGGTATAAGCGTTAGAGGAACCCGAGTGGGATGCTAGATATTGGTTGTAGGCATTTTCCTTGGGATACTACATGAGGTTAATCGTAGTCTAGACCCAGCCGGAAAGGGGTCTGGTGTTTCAGGATGTGGCCACCTACCTTCTTGGTTCCCATGAAGAGCAGATGTTCTACCGCATGCGCCATGCCAGGCATGTCGTCTGCGTCTGAGAAGTTGCCAACATTGACATTGACGGCCGCACTGGCCTTGTCCGTGTCCGGATCATGCACCAGAAGGGCCTCTAGTTTGTTGGGCAGGCGAATGACCCGGTAGGAGCGATCATCGAGCTCCGGCTTCTCCAGGCTTTCAGCAATGCGCTCGATGGATCCCATGGTCGCGGCGCTGGAGGAAAAGCTAGCACGAAGTGTGAGGGGGAATGAGACGAAGGCGTGGGAGGAGCGCACGGCAGGCGATGAGCGACGGTCGGGAGCTGAGGGGAAGCGTGGCGAGGGGGAGGAGAAATGAGGGGCAATCGCCGCAAAGGCGCCTGACTGCGTAAATGAGCGAGAAGCTGGGGAGCGAAGATATGAGGGGCCTCTAGAGTTCCACAAGCGGCGAGTTGCAGGGGACCTTGGAGGCATCCAGAGAAAGGAGGGATTCGGTTGCCGGGAGGCACGGCCGCACGGGGACGCAGGCGTAGTTCAAAAGTGGCCGGAATGAAAGAGAAAGGGGCGAAAGGAGAGACCGAGGATATAAATAGACGGTCTTGGGAAGGAGAGAGAAAGGGTCAGCAAGGTGCCACGTCAATGTTGAAAGGAACGCGAGAAATTCACCAGGTCAATGGTCAAAGTATATGCACTGGCATGAAGCAGCAAGAGTGACTTGTCGGTGGCATACGCTGAACGAATGGACGATTTCCGTCGCTATGCTGCCAGGCGGTGAAGCCCCAGAAAGCGGTGAGGGCTTGGCCGGATGACGATATCGAGCCTCGGTATTTCCCATCCCTCCTTCCAGGCAAGGGTTATCCCATCATGAACATTAACTGGATCTAGATACTGACTACTGACGGGGGTCATACCATCTCATGATTAATTAGAATCTCTTTTCAAGTACAAAGGACGGTCGACCTCAATCTTAAAGCATATGCATGGCTGCTATGACGTGCGCATGCAGACTCAACCACCAAGAGCGGCGATCGCTCAAAGAATCGATGATTGAGTGATACGTACGGAGTACACTACTGGAGTACCCATCTACGGACATGTTAGACATATGTGCCCGACAGGTGTTGGTGTGACCGAAGTCGGCTTTGAACAAAGCCTCCAATTCTATCTGCGGTCCGCAGGCGGAAGCTGACATGGTTTATTGTGTCTCAGATGGATAGCGTGAATTAGTACAGTCTCGGCCCTGTTCAGGCCATTTATAAACACACTTGAGCAGCTGGCAACAGCCTCAGGGAACGTTCATTGGTAACGTCCATACATCAACAATTATTAACAAAGTACTATCAACAGAAGCCACAAAGCCAAAACAGCAACATCAATCTCATACCCAATTCCAGCATCAAATATCCCATTCATCCCCTTGCCATTAACCAAGCCAACCCAATCACCTCAAATCCAACGCCAAGCTCAAGGCCTAGCACTAACAACTCGTCGCACAAAGAGTCAACACCTCATTCGAATTCGCCTGGCAGCTCTTCACCTGACTACCTGCAGGAGGCACCCCGTTGGCCCAACAGATGCTCCCACATCCGGAATCACTCGGCACCACGCTCAGCGCACTGCCCGAGAAAGGGTCTCCAAAGACATCCGACAAGTCATAAAAGACCGTGTTGGTGTCTGTATTCAGAGTATAGGCGTAATTCGTCTGCGCCGAGCCGTCGAAGAGCCCATTCGGCGTCTTGGTGATCTTCAGAGAGATGCCACCGGACGTCGCGTCACGGTGGAAGGTCTCGCTGTAGCTGGAGCCTGGGGCGATGGTTTGTCTGGGTCCGATGGAACCGCCCACAGACCAAAGGTAGACGGGGTCGGTGCAGTTGTTTTGGACGACAGCCGAGCCGATGGCATGGGTTAGGGGGAGGAGAGGGAGGAGGGTGAATGCGAGTGTGGAGAGGATATGCATATTGACTGCTTAAGTGATTGTATTGAATCAAGATCAAGTATGCGAAGGCGAATCCAAGCGAACTGGTGCTACAGTGAAGTATTAGAAACATGAGGGCAAGAAGCATCCTATATATACCCCCTCCCTCAAATCATCCTCCTCCCATCCACACCCATTAACCCCTCATCCTACCCTACCTACATCATCCAGCTCCTACCGGAACAGCCAAGAACAACCCATACTCCTCATCAACCCATCAACCCTGACCCCAATCCCAACATCCAAACTTCTAAGAATAGATCCCCTCTTCCCACTCCCCAGTCCCAAGTTCCCCAGGCCTCCCGCACGCCATCCTCCCCAATACCAGTAGATCACACCTCAGCATCCACCATCCAACCCAATCCAATAACCCATTCCGTAAGGCCCCCAACCCACCCACGGTCCCCGCCAAAGAACCTCGAACCCTTTCCCCGCGGGGTCCCTCGATGTGAGACATTCCCGTCATACATCTCGTCCCATCTACGACGTCATTCGTGGGATTGTATGCATGCACGGGCAAGGATCCAATCACGGGATTTCTCGTACTCCGTTCGGCAGCATGTATGTAATATGTATGTATGTCTTAGACTTTGGGGAGGTTGGGTGGGTCGTTCGTATTGGTTTTCGGGGGCAACTATTTTATTTGGGGGGTTTTTTACTTTATTTTTTTTTTGTTAATGGATGGGTGGATGGGGTTATTGGATGTTTATGGATGTGAGGTTAGGTTGGGTTGGGTGGATGGGTTGATTGGGGTGATTGAGAGGGGGGTTTATTAGGTGGTCTGAGATAGGGGAAATGAGGACGGAAATGAGCGATGAGGATGACTGTAGGGATAGGATAGTTTCTAATATGGGGTTAAGTTTTGGGTTTTGGCCACTTGATGACTTTGCCTTCGCTTAAAATAAATTGAAGGTTTGGTCAGATGTATGGTATTACTGCTAGTGAGTCGGCAGTTGAGGAATGAATGGGTGGGTCAGGAACTATGAGACTGATGACATCAACACTGTCTTCTCTTATTAACTATAGTATGCTCTCAAGTACAGTATCATCCATCTCTGCAGGCTACAAGTGCAAAATCCGAGACAAAATGACCTACTGCCAACACATGCATCCCACACAAAGATCGCAACACCAATGCAAGTTTCAAAATACACCTAGCTTGCCACCGAACGAGGCTCCCCTGGGTTCTCCTTCGTCGGGGACCGGCTCTTAGGCTTGGGCTTCTTTTCTTCTTCGGTCTCACTCTCGTGCACATCGGCTCGCTCGGAGATCCATTGATAGGCCTCTTCTTTGTGGTGCATGAGCATCTCACTGAGACTGGTCTTGGGCGATTGAACGAGTTGGCCGTAGCGCTTGGATGGCTTGCGCCGTGTCTCGACGCTGTTCCAGACGCCGTGCGTATGTGAGACAAATACGAGGGAGTTCTGCTAGGGTATAAGTATGGTCAAAAAGTTAAAGGGTAGAAAATAAAGCTTACATCCTTGTACCACCGCGACAGCCAGACCTGCGTATGGGAGGCGATGGCGCGAACCGGGTTCTCGGCCACAAACGAAACCACACTGTTGACTCGTTTGTACAATGTCTCTGTTCCAGTGTCAGCTGCTGTCCCAGACTCAGAGACAGATTACCCACCTCGGTTGATTAGTAGATTGGCTACCCCGTAAAACGCATTGCCGATACCCATGAAGAAGATTTCGGTGGCCTCGCTCGGTCTGCAATTGTCAGATCCGATCGCATGTTGACTATGGTCGTCGTCGTTTCTCACTCACTCGATATAGTTATCCCACAGGTATCCTGCTAATTCCTCGGTAGCAGTAGGCCGATTCTCGTCTTCTTCCTCGTATTTACCAGATGACTTCAGGGTCAGCATTTAACTCAGGAACCAAGGAAATTATAAGGCAACTTACAGGATCGATCGTTACATGCTTGGGGATATTAACATCAATCACCGCATACCCCTTGCCGACAGCCCATCCGATGTAGTCCTTCATGACATCAGCCTATCACTGTCAGCGCCTGTGTAAAACGACGGGACAGGTACATACCAGCCAGCAGTTGTGGGCCTCCAGCTTGTTAGTGACGGGATGGGGCAAGCCCATGATCTCTGGTCTGTTTATGGTCATTAAAGGATTAATCGCATCCATCGAAGCACTTACGGATCATGAAATATCACCAAAAGAGGCACTGATTGATGATAGTTGGGACTGCACGGAGTATTAGCACGCGCCAGTCTCATCGCGCTTTGACCTACCTTGCTAGAACTTGGTTCTCGAATGACTTGGAGATGGCCGTCCGATAAATGAAGAGTGATGTGAGCTTGTAGTTATCGTAGAGTTGTTTCGCCTGGTAAGCACGTATGACATCTGCAGAGGTTAGGGTGGTCCTGCAACAGGGAGTCATCTTACCATGAAGTCTATCAGTGAAGAGCCCATCCTGGGGAGGCCCCTTCGGATACATGCACTGCCAATAACGCGACTGGATCATCATCACGCGCCGTACAGTAGTGGTTGCCAGCGCAGAAGGTGAAGTAGTATGGAGTCGATCCGGCGGGTCTCCCATCAGAGTCTTCGTGACTGCAAGTGCTGACTTTGAAATGGACCTGAAGTTATAGCCACCCTAGCAAAGTCATTAGTCTACCATCATGGCCCAAGCCATGTGCGCATACCTCGAGACAGACGGCAACTTTGCCGTTAGCAAGCGTCATGAGCATGTGTGTCATGTGGGCGTAGCACGAAGGTGTAACAAAACACCCTCCAAGCTCATCGCCCGCAGCTGCATCAAAACCAGAGGCAACTAGTCCATGTTAGCAATGAGGTGCATCCTCTGGTAGAAGATTCGCTTACCAATAACCAGATCTGGGTTGAATTCATGCGCGATCGGCATGACAACCTGTTGAAAAGCATACATGTAATCGCCATCACCCATGCCCTGGCTGGGCCAAGGTATGTTCACATTTCTCCACACATGTTAGCAAGCTCCGATTAAACAGACAATTGCAACACATACCTCCCAACGCCTGCGCCTTCACCGCAATGATCCCAATCACCCTCTTCACCCCCAGGATAGAACTTCCCATCCGAATACACATGGAGTGAGATGTATAGTACATTAGGGTCATCATAGAAGGCTTTCTGGATCCCATTCCCTAGATAGAGTAAATTGCCTGAACTTTGTGCTTATAAGAGCTGCTAATTACCATGATGAACGTCCCTTGATCGGTCAGTATCTTCTTGAACTGAATATGGGAGGCAAAGCATACCAGTCAAGGATCAGAATCTTTCTACACCGGTCTCCAAGTCGGTTCTGACAGACACGCGTCGCCACAGAGACATTATTAAACAGACAAAATCCCATCGTCTTGTCCTGTTCGGCATGATGCCCAGGAGGCCGGATGACTGCGATGGCATTTTTTACTTTCCGGGTTGCAACAGCCAAGCATGTCTCGATCGCTCCACCAACTGATAAGATTGAAGATGCAAATGTCAATTTATTGAAGTAGATCGAATCACGTGTGTGTTCCAATGCAATCAACTCGTCATCAGACATGTCTATCGACCGTTAGAATATGCAGGCCTCCAATACTATGGACAAGACTCTACCTTTGGTGCTCGCTACAAATGCAAAATGATCGGGCGTATGAATAAGCGAGATTTCTGCTTCGGTGGCATTGCGAGCATCGATGCGTTTCAGCGGTCGTGCCACAAGGGGTCGACACGACTCCGGGTCATCAACAAGCCCTGCTCGACAAAGCTCCTTGTAGATGTAGTAGATCCGTCTAGGATCCTCTGGATGAACGTCCGCTGTCGGTCGCACTTCACAGTGATAGCGCATCTGAACATCATAGCATAACCCTGAAGGAAGGGAGGCAAGAGGAAGCCCGGTGCGGGCAATTGTATCCTCGTCAGTCCAGTCGGAATTCTCCTCGACAAGACTATCTTGCTTATCGAAGTCTTCAGTAGTGGCATCGCCAGAGTCGACTGATTTGGGCAGGCTTTTCGGGGGCGATACCCCTTGGTTTTCTGTATCTGCCGCGTTCTCTGTCCGCGAGTCTCCCGAGGGTTCAGAGAGCGGCAGCTTCACACTCTGACCCAGAAGCGGCGGTGCAATCGATGGGTCTGACCTACCATTAAGCTGGCCATTGCCCTGAAGACCAGGATCATTGTTTGTCCAGCCATGTGAAGCAACAGAGGGCAGGTTGTGAGAGCCCGCCTCTCCCATGACGGTATCTTCGTCTTCGTCCATTGCCATTGAAATTGACAGTGAAGATGCGCTTATTTCTCCCTGATCCAGTAGGCTAGGAGCGCGCACCTGTCATGGTCCAACCCGCAGTTGAAAGTAAATGGGACCTATCAACAGACGGGAGAGTTCGCAACAGAAACAGATGGGATAACCACAAACGCAAATGGTCCAGGAGACAGGTGACGAATAGGTGAAACACAAAGGAGAGACAGGTAGGAAATTGAAAGGATACCGTGGGAGGTGGCGTCTTTGGGACCAACACTCAAGGAGGACCGAGGCAACTGTACTGGGGTTGCGAGAGCAGTAGAACAACAAGGGAACTAGATAGTTACTAGGTCCGAAGCTCAGAGGCCCTCCACGGCGACAACCAATGTAAGAGAGGCCAGGCCAGATTAGGAGAAAGGGAAAGCGTGGCAGAACACGATTAAGAGGCCGTCTAGACAACTACGGGTGGCTGTTGATACAGTAGGCACCGCAACGCGCACACCAGCAGAGACGATCTGGTCCAGGAGTTTGGGATCAATGTAGCTCTAAAATCCGTGGTCTAGCTGCCCTCCACGTGACTTGATGGCCGCGGACCCCCCCACGGTCCACTCAAATGTTCAGGCAAGGGCGGAGAATCGGTCGAGAGAGATGGCTTCCGATCCGCAAGGCCGGATTTGGCTTCCCCTGGATTGGGACGTGGCATGGGCCAGAGGCAAAATTATGGTCTCGCTCCTGCGCTCACAGAGTTCCGAGAATTTCCCGCGGTTTGCCGAAGTCGATCAGAACGCCTTCAATTCACTGGCCGCAGGGCTTAGTCACCGCCGCAGCATTCCACCCCGGGGCCAGGTTTCCGAGAGGCACCTGCTGCATCTACACTGCTACGGAGATATCATCCAGTCGTGAACAGGGGGAAGATATGAACATTGTATCATTTCATTAAATTTGTACGTCATCATAAGTTTTTACGCTAGGAGTTAAGGTGCTCTCACGCTCTCCATCACGGTCGGTTCCATGAGAGTCGCCTGCGCTCGTCTCACTCAAAGCACACTTCTGAATTCAGTTCGCCGTCCTGATTCCTACTGGGCATCAACACCAGCGATGTAGGCTAGAAGCAATGTTAGCAAAACTGTCACGAATATTTCGGAAGCAAAAGAGGTTTTTACCAATGAGGTCAACGACACGGCGGGAGTAACCCCACTCGTTGTCGTACCAAGAGACGAGCTTGACGAAGTTGGGGTTGAGGGCAATACCAGCCTTGGCATCGAAGATGGAAGAGTGGCTGTCACCGTTCAGGTCGGAGGAGACGATGTCATCCTCAGTGTAGCCAAGGACACCTGCGAACGAATTAGTCCTGATACATGACAAGCGTGGAAGCTACCAAACTTACCCTTGAGCTCGCCCTCGGAAGCGGCCTTGAGGGTCTGCTTGATCTCGTCGTAGGTAGCAGCCTTCTCGAGACGGCAGGTCAAGTCGACAACGGAGACGTTGGAGGTAGGCACACGCATGGCCATACCGGTGAGCTTGCCGTTAAGAGCGGGGATGACCTTGCCGACAGCCTTGGCAGCACCAGTGGAGCTGGGGATGATGTTCTGGGCAGCAGTACGGCCACCGCGCCAGTCCTTGCTGGAGGGAGCATCGACGACCTTCTGGGTGGCGGTGTAGGAGTGGACGGTGGTCATGAGACCCTCAACGATGCCGAACTTGTCGTTGATGACCTTGGCAAGGGGAGCCAGGCAGTTGGTGGTGCAAGAGGCGTTGGAGAGGACGTCGACGTCGGAGGTGTAGGAGGTGTTGTTGACACCCATGACGAACATGGGGGCATCAGCGGAAGGAGCAGAGATGATGACCTTCTTGGCACCACCCTTCAAGTGGGCGGAGGCCTTCTCCTTGGTGGTGAAAACACCGGTGGACTCGACAACGTAGTCGGCGCCAGTGGTACCCCAGGGGATGGCAGCGGGGTCACGCTCAGCGAAGAAGCGGATCTTCTTGCCGTTGACAATCAGACCCTCCTCGTAGGTCTCGATGGTACCCTTGAACTGGCCGTGGGTGCTGTCGTACTTGAGCATGTAGGCCTGTTGGATTGAACGCCATTAGCCACCTGCTTATTGGTCTGCAGTCGACCAGACGGAGGGTAAAACATACAGCATAGTGGGTCTCAATGAAGGGGTCGTTGACAGCGACGACCTCAACACCACCGTGCTCGATGCTGAACAGCTACTGTCAGCATAGCTCTTTCAAGAGGAGAGCTGATTGCGATGCTCCCCGATCCGTTGGAAGGACGGTAGGACAGTACTCACGCGTTACGGAAGACCTGTGCCGTCGGTTAGTTCCTTCCATCTGAGGTAGCCAGCATGGGAGAGCAACTTACGATACGTCCGATACGACCGAAGCCGTTGATACCGACCTGTACGGCGATGATGTGAGTCAGGGATCATTGGGCGAGAAGCTGGACCATAGCTGGTCGCGTACCTTAGGAGCCATTGTGTAGATGTGTCTGTTGGTGGCGGGGTAGTGGTTAGTCCAGGTTCGTCGACGATGAGAGTGAAGCTTCTCAGAAGAGGAAGACGATGACGATGGGAGGATATGGCAGGGAAGAGACTCACTTGGAAGATGGATTGGATGGGAAGAGGAGATGAAAGCTGGATGATGAGGAGGAGGGGAGAAAAGAGAAGAAGAGGTCGGCGGCGGGGGAGGGGAAGTAGAAAAAGGGTAGCGACCAGTGACTGACGCAACGACCAGGTTACCAGGCCAGCTGGGTCCCTCCGCTCCTGATGCCGCGCCCAGTCGAATCCGCACACCGGGGAGACGGACGGGGCAAAAGCTACAGCGAGCTCTGCCACCGTGCCACGGCGTGGGAAATGGGTCAATTGTCAGCTTGGGTTCCCGGCTTGCGCCGCTCCCCAGTTCCCCAGCAGCCTTTCCGGTTTCATACACCGGGCAAAGCAGGAGAGTCACGATATTTGGATCTCCTGCTACCCCTCGGTAGCTGCCGTCTGGACCAATGAGCGGCCTCCATCTCCAGCACGCCGGGTACTCGCTCCTACCATGGCGAGAATCTTTTGCCAGTCCTTCGGGATCAATTGAGTCCTTCTACCTAGGTTACGGGACTCGATCTCGGGAAGACGGGCCCATCCTCAGGGCTCTGCTACGATCCTACCCGTAGGCAGCCGCGGCGGCGAGGCACCCGATGGTAAACATGATGTAATGGAGATAATCGGCCCATCGCATGGCTTCTCCAAGTTTCCTTTCACGCCGCCAGTCAACAAAAAGAGGGGCAGCCGGCCTTGCCGCTTTCGGCCCCGGGTAGCTCGGCCCGGACTAACTATGGTCCGGTGCCCCTCATTTTGGAGTCTCGCGGCTGGACCCCAAGGCGGTGCCTCTTTCCACCCCTCTTATTATTGATTATTGATTCTTGACTCCCGTTGTCTGGCCCCTCTGGGTCTCTCCCGTCACCTAAAAAATTCACCGGAGACCATAACGGATATCACGCGCTCATCACATTTTTTTTTCCCAAGCGGGATCTGTGGGATATTATTCAATGCTTCAGGCTCCAGTAGTCAGGAGTCGGTCCATCGGCATCGGCACCTTGGCGAACGAGGCGTGCGTATTTACAATAGACCCATGCTTAATATGACATGATGCTTTGGCCTCTGCGGTACACTTCACCCCTCACGACACGACGAACACGGAAATGTCAGGTGCAGTGCAATTGACGCATGTGGCTGAGCAATGGAAATTGACTGGTTGGACAAATAGCAACGCTGATATTGTAGCATTAATAGTATTCCCCAAAAAAACTAAAACCCTACACTCTCCTGGACTATTGCATATATACCCAGTACCCACATCAGAATGGAGCGCTCGTTATTCAAATCATAATGGCAACCACGATTTCGACTGTAGCACAGCCAGACTGCCCTGCTCTCGATCATGTTAGATCGTCACTATCCTGGATGGCTGCAAAACGAAAGACGGCATCCTGGGCCAATTCGGATTCCACCGCACGGTGGTCCCATTCATCATACTGCCATGCAAGGCAAATGCAACCTGCCAATTCAAGCGTGTGACATTAGGTTGCCACGGTATGCCGAGAAAGTGTTTCACCGGCCTCACCGGGGTCGATGCTGGGTGTCAGGAGATGGGAGCCGCGAGACAAAAAGCATAAGCAAATCCTTCGCCACTCATTAACCTTCCAACGACCGGGGTTGAGGTCTCACCACCTCGGATTTCTAATACAATCTACTAGTCATTCATTTGCCATCTATGTCATGCCAGCTAGTGGCAAGTACAGAACACGAGGTCACGACCGATGTGTGTCTATTATAATGATAAGGGGTCATAGCGAACGATATCGACAGCATGAATAGGTCATAAGTATAACATGTCCCATCACAAAAGCTAGAAAGCTAGTGTGATGCCAGAAAGGCGCAGATCCATTTCGGATTTGCTCTCACTCCATTGACACCACATCTATAAATACACAGGAAGCAAGGTCTTCGCAAAATGCTTGCACGTCATCCTCTTATCCTGACGTCTACTCTTCCTTGACACCACCCCTCCAGTTCTTCTCCGCGTTCTCAACGGACGCCTTGTCGCTCTTGATCTGGCCCTGGTTCAGGAAGCTGTTGGCGGCCTTGAAGGGGCGCTGGAGATCGCCAGTGGCGGGCTTTCCGAAGACGTGAATCTTGACCAGGTTCGCCTCGAAGGCACCTTTGAGAGGGATGATCGACTGGATCAGAAGAGGGTTGGTGTACTTGAAGTAGAGGTGCATCACACCCATCATGCCGACACCCATCAATTGGCTCCTCATCAGCTGGCGCAGCTGCTGCTTGTCGTACTCCATGTTGGTGGTGGTCACCGGACGGGGCTCCTCGCCGCTTCCCACGGGAGCAGGCTCCACATATTTCAGGGTAGTCAAATCTGATAGCTTGATTAGTTGTGTGTAGCCCAGCGGCAGAACAACAGAAGCGTACCATTCTTTTTGTTGATCTTGGACTGCGTATAAAGGTAGATGCCGAGGATGATCACGTTGGACAAGATGTACATGCCACGGACCAGAAGAAGGACATCGGGGTTTTCGAAGGGAACCTTCTTGGCCAGCTGCATCATCACCACGATGATGGCCAGGTTTGTGCTGCATGCCAGGCGAATTGTCAGCGGTCATCACTGGAGTAGTTCCATAACGCAGCAGAGAGCATGGTCACCCGTGTCGCATGCAGGAAGGGATAGCAGGGGGGTAGACTTACACTTGAGGAGACACCATCTTGCCGGTAGTACTGAGTGCAAGGACCCTTGGGAGATGAGGAGCAGCACACGATGGGGTGAAACTGGAGAGTGATGGAGACCACGCGTGCAAGGACAGAAACTTCCACGAACTGCGGAACTGGAGCCCCGGGGAAGTCGGACAGCTGTCCTGATAGACAATGATCACGTGAGCGCTCTTTTCTCCTTTAGGCTTAGTTGTATCGGTGAGACACGCGAGCCAAGATAATAACAGCGATAAGGCAGGATAAGCAGATGATTGGCAATATCATTACCCCTTTCAGCGGCTACCAATGGAGAAATCGAATGCCCAGTGCAGCCTCAGGCAGAAGTCCGCCCGCAGACAGAAGGCACAGATCACCTGCTTGCTTAGATAATCTGATGAGCAACTATCATGCTCTGCGCGCTCTCCTGCCAACCTCTGCTGTGTCGTTGCGAACTGCGCAAAAGCCTCCACATTACGTTATGAAGAACCCTTTCAACCCCTTCTCCAGGAAAAGGGCTCCCGGAACATGGGACCTGGAGCAATGATACCTGTTTCCAGGCCTGCTGTGTCTGGCGTCTGGGGGATCAACTACTGAATGACTCTACGCCCAGCGATGGTGTAGACGCTCAGTCCCAACCCCCATGAGCCCGATCCAGCTGGACCGCCGCTGGAACTCGGATGGCTCCTTGGGGAACTGACAGGCTACGGCCATGCAGAGCGTGTCTCTCACTACCTTTGCAACCGCGACCGACCACCACCTGACGGGCGATGGCATCTCGGTGGTTGGAAGCTGAGCAGCCTTCCCGAACGGGACTAGCGCCGCTCCACGTTCGACGCCCGTCTTTAGCGACCAGGATGGCTCTGACATTTCTGACTCCTTCATCCATCAACAACGCGCGTGCTTGTGCTATATCGGATCGCCTCACCATCCACAATCGCGCTCTATCCCTTCCAACCCTCGATTGACGCGACATTCTCGCCCCTGCGGCCCCAAATCTCGACGCTTTTGCAAAATGCCTGGTGGAAAGGGAAAGTCTATCGGTGGGAAGGCCGGCTCCAAGGACTCTGCGGGGAAGAGCCAGAAGTCCCACAGCGCAAAGGCTGGTCTGCAGGTCCGTATTCGTCCTTTATCCCTTTTAGCGATGATATTCCATGCATCCCATCCCATGCCGTGTAGCGGCGACCTACCGGTGAAGCTCTTATGACATGGGATTTTTCTTTACCCCTCACGTTCGCCTTCACATTCGCACGAGCACGCGTTTTTCTTTTCAATCAAGGGAAAGCACTTGTGGCACTATACGGGCGGCGGATGATCACTGTTCACGCGACTCAAATGGGGGTTGGCTGTCTCCCACCCTTCCGAGTCCAATCCACCTCCCGAAGCTTTGTTTTCATCTATTCTTGCCAACTCTATCTACTATCATAAGTTTCCGCCACTGACATTCTATTCCTGTAACAGTTCCCCTGCGGTCGTGTTAAGCGCTTCTTGAAGAACAACACGCAGAACAAGATGCGCGTCGGCGCCAAAGGTACAACGCTCCCCTCGCAGCTATCGCCACTGCACCTTTGTCTTCTGCCCAAACCATGCTGACAAATCATTCGTAGCCGCCGTCTATGTCACCGCTGTCCTTGAGTATTTGACCGCCGAAGTGCTCGAGCTGGCTGGAAACGCCGCGAAGGATCTCAAAGTCAAGCGTATCACCCCGCGCCACCTGCAGCTCGCCATCCGTGGAGACGAAGAACTGGATACCCTGATCCGCGCCACCATTGCTTTCGGAGGTGTCCTGCCGCGCATCAACCGCGCGCTCCTGCTGAAGGTCGAGCAGAAGAAGAAGAACAAGACCGAGGCTTAAATGATGGTGGATACCCGACGAACTATGGCGTTTGGTGATTGATGATCGTTGAATGGGGAAAATCGAGGAACGTGACTTGACCGTGATCTTGATCCCACTCCACCCTCGCGAACCGGAAAATCAGGGAGATAGGGAATCAGGACACATCTCACACGAACAACCCCACCGTTTTATTCACGACGCTGCAAAGCTCGAAATGTTTTTCTAGGTTTTCGCGTCCTTCCCATCTTTTATTTTACTATTTCCCCCTGATAGCTGGATGTCTTTTGTATCTCCGTTTTTGTGTCAGATTCTCTCCACGGGCGCTAGTAATGGGAAAAAGGGGATTTTTTTTCGGTAGTGGGAAAGTTATTCTTTGTCTCTTTTTTCTTATTCATTTTCTCCCTTCTACCCCCTTTTGCTATGTACGCTGTTTTATTCCTTCGGCTTTCTCTTTAATATGAACGGTGTCAAGTCTGCTTGTTTATTTTTCCTACTATATCCATTCATTCGATCCTTGTCATACTCTGGACCGGACGGCTTAAAGGAGTCGTATGGGATAGTAGATCTTATCCCCACTGTACCAATTTAATTTAAACCCGTAGGTGACTTCAGAAATTCGTGTTGCAAGTCCTGTGTTAAGCTCTTAGTGGCTAGATAGTAGTCATGCGAACGAGACATTTCCACCGACTCATTACCTGAACCCATGAAACCGCAAATGCTATAGAGGTACATACTTCGGGTAGTCAGTAAATGAGGGAAAAGATCATAACAGACGCTACTATAGTAGGAGTCATCAAAAAGATGGAAAGAGCAATGTCGTCTATATATATATACTACAGTCTAAGTCCCGAAGCGACCATAGGTTTGTACTAAACAAACAAGGTAACTGATCAAGCTCTGAGGCACCGAACACATACAAATACACAAATACAGTCAAGGGCGTTAAGGAAAACGGATGCAGGGCCCCGGCGAGGCCACTGCAGGCCCAACCCATGCCCAATGGCCCAGGATATACTCCGGACGCAAGCCCGCCGTCGGAAGGGGAAATCACGAGACGTCATGTCGGTCATATATTGCAGTGTCATTGGGCCAGTTGCCCGGGCATCCATCCCTAGGTAGGAGAGGCACACAGCAAGTCCAAGGAACTGCACCTGCAAGAATGCAAATATCCGCCCGCCGGGTTCGCCACCATATCTGAGTCCCTTGCCCACGCCATGCAAGTCACCCCATTGGATTACCCCTGCAGGCCAGGGAAAATAAATCTCCAGAGAACGAGACCGGTCCCCGGCAACAGCTGCACTGCATGTGTGGTATGCCGACAACGTTCGGTCAATTCCGCCACGCCGCCCTCACGCGGGTTCCAGGGGGGAAACCATAAAAACAATTAGGGGAGAGAGAGTAGAGCACAATGAGATAAAAACATTAAATGATGCAAATCGCCCCATATACAAAGTCACAAACAGGTAGATCGAAAGAGATAATAGAGTAAAATGCAAATGCTGGTGAGTCATCTCTCTTGGCCATGGTCACACAAAGACATCCGGATTCCGTTGGGAGTCGTCCTCCGTAGTCGTCCAGGTGTTGATGATGGATTTTATATTGCTTTCCGCCGACACAATTTGTAGAAGGTAAAAAAAAATATAGGTAATAATGTTCCTGCATGCAAGGCGCCCGCGTCTCAAAAAGTTCACAGCTTTCTTTTTGTGGTTTATTTTCCGCGAAACAAGGAGAAAACATAAAGAGTCCGTTCAAACAGCGTGCCTGCTGGGCTGCCCCAAAATAACGTCTAAACTTGGCTAGATCAGAGAAATATTCTTTTGGTTCTCTCGGTTGAGTGTCATCTCGTCATCCCTCATCGAATCGTAAGCCAATAATCGCAGAACAGGATCAGGCCTCGTGATATAAGAGTCGTATGCATCTTGCGGCAAAGCAATCTAACAAGTTTCGTCGTCTTCGTTCCCCATCAAAGTGTTTACTCCACAATAATCTCTACACCAGAGCTGGTGCGTAACTCGTCGCTTCCGCGCGATTGGTGTCCGTTCGGGCGTCGGAATCCTGGGCCTTTCTCGGGCATCGGGCCTCTCGGCTGCCTAATGGGCATGCGCTCCTGTGACTGACCGTCAAATCCAACTCCGATGGATCGGTTACTACCGATGGGACCAGCACTAGAGGGCTGACTCTCTGGCTGCTCCCAAGAGAACATACCCCGCAATCTCCTCGGGCTCGCATTCGGCCCGCCAATTCCAGTGCCCAGAGAAAGGCTGCTGAGGCTGTTCACCAACAAACTGTCGTCGCGCTGCATGCCGAGGGAGGAGCCGGACGGGGCGGACGTAAGCGTAGGGGTGTTGGATGCGCCGCTGGTAGCACCATCGTAATGCTGCAGGCGCGCGCCGTTAGACTGCAGCGCCGCGGGGAAGCTGGCGGAAGAGGGGACTGGCGACGGGGTGTAGGAGCGCAGATCCGCGAACGACTTCGCGGCTCGGAGGTTCTGCGTGTTGCCAAAGTTGTTGGGGGAGTCCAGAACCCCGAGGAAGCCAGAGGGCTGGCCGCGCAATGTGCTAAAATGAGTGGGCCCCTCGTTACGAGACTCACTAAAATCAATTGTTGCTGCGCGGTTGAGCCCACGACGAGCTGTCTCAGCTGGCTGCACTGCGGCAGGGATAGACGACAGCGGCGGGCTGACATTGGTGCCAGGTGCGACCTTGAACACGTGCACCTGCCGCTGATCACCGGATCCCCGAGACGCATGGCCCAGGCCCATGTTGTGAGCAAGCGTGTGCACGGTACGGCGCTGGACGGGAGAGAGGTTGGACGGGAACACCAGAGTATCACGCGCGGTGTCCTCCTTGAACAGGAGAAGCTGGGAGTAGTAAGAAAGCGTGGTGCTATCATTGAGATCGACGTCTGAGTATGCACGGAACTGTCAGTAGAGGAGGAATAACGATAGATTCATACAACACTCACCCAATTTTTGACCGCGCTGAGAGACGGGCGAGGGGGAGGTGGCGGGAAGGTGGGAGGTCAGAGACGACATGGAACTCTGGGTCTGGAGTTGCGAGGTCGCCATGGGGCGATGCTGCTCTTCCAGCTGACCACGACGTTCGCGCTTCTCACGCTCAATCCGCTCGCGCTCCTGTAGCGGAAGCATCTTCTTGTATTCAACCCGCAATTTCCGACCCTGGAGCTCAAAATGATTGAGGACCTCGATGACGGTCGCGGTTTCCTCTGCGGAGGTAAAGTTGGCGAAAGCCAATCCCCGAAAGACGCCGTTATCAAAATGATAGTTGAACGCATAGGGCAGGGGCAAGTTAAGTTCAGTCATGAGTTGCACCAGCTGCTCCTTCTTGACCGCAAATGGAATATTCTTGATGACGATAGCGGTGGGGATCAACTCATCCTCCGCCTCCGAGGGACCAGAGGCTTCGGGGCGCATCGCGCTGCTCTGAAGGGGACCGGGGCCGAGGTTGGAGAAGGGACTCGGAATACCTGGCTGCTGATCAAGCCAGGTCTACTCATCTGTTAGCAAGCTCCCTGGTAACCTCGTTCTGCCACCATTATCGGATACATACCGTTGGCAAGCCGGCCCTGCCAGTGCGCGAAGTCGTCTTCAGGCTGGTCGAAGCTGACCGGATCCCTCCGAGGGCTTGCGCATTGGAAAAGCCATTAGGATTCCAGGTCTGGGAGCCCGCAAGATCGTAGGCGTAGGAGTTGTTATGCAACGACGAGTTCAGTCGCTCCAGCCGACCAGTGTCATAACGAGCCATGTCGTCGTACAAATTGACCGGCATGGGACCGTACGCGTCGAACTGGCGAGAGGGTTGACGATGCAGCGGCTGCTGGTGGCGTTGGGAGCCAGGGGAACGCGCGGCGGAGTTGTCGTGATACATGTCCTGGGCTTGTTGATAGCTCATGGCGGCGAAAAGATTGCAAATTCCCTAGAAGCAACCAAACCGAGGAATGTGGGCACTGAGATCCACCACACAACAAACCCGTTCAATGAGATCGCAATAGGCTGGCGGAACTACTCAAACATAGGAGCGACCGGAGGGGCGCTAGAGACCAGGAGCAGGTATCTCAAACAACGCTTGGTCGAGGGGTAGCCCGAGGCGTGCGAGATTCCCGAGATCGAGGAGAGAAATGCAGGACGGGTCAACTTCCGATGGGGGGAGTGACCGATAGTCTGCGGTAGCGGACAGGAAAACGTGATGGAAGCGACGAAAACCGAAAAACAAGCTAAATCGCTCACAGCTGCTGAACTAATTGTCTCGTGACTGTAGGGTCATCAATGGCCGTCGTGTCCTCTAGCATCAAACTGTTAGGAACTTTTTTTTTTCTTTCGCTTCACAGACCCCTAGGGGTATCAGAAGAGGTAGGGAAGGAGAACTCGGGGAAAAAAGAAAATGGGGTACGGGAAAAATTGAACAAAAAAAAGATAAGGAAAATAAAAATGGAGGAATTTCCAGGTAGAAAAGAAAGAGGGGGGGGAAAGGAAAAGAGTAAAACAGGAGCTGCCACTACCTGGGATGGATAAGCAGTGCCCAAGGCTTTTGACGGCCGAACAAGAGAGGAGGGATGGGTGAGGGGAGAAAAAGAGAACGAGCAAGTAGCAGAAGGTGGTCCAGGAGGAGGAGCAAGAGGAGAGAAGCAGAGGGAGAGGAATCACTCGGGCTGCTGCTGCTGCTGCTGCTGCTCTTCTGCTGGGGGGAAGAGGGAAAGGGAAAGCACGCACGCCAAACGGCACGCAGAAAAGCCGGAAACACCGCGACCGCTTAGTCGGGTCGGGTCTGGTCTGGTCTGGTCGCCCTTCCGTGAATCCACCACCCAAAGTAAAAACCAGTGGTGGAATGGCTGGATGCACTGCACTTCCTGCACGGCACTGGATAGATCGTGTGGAAAATGTGATGGAGAGAAAGACAGAGATAGGCTGGCCCCCCAGTCAGGAACACCCAGTCAGACAGTCGGGTTCCGACAATAGTGAAACTGTCAGAGGATGATGGGCAGTGGTAGGGAACAATTGCCAGGAATGTTGAATAAGGGCCACAACTTCCCGAGATGAACGATGAATGGGCAGCAGGGGGATGATCAACAAGGTAGCAGTAACTGTAGGCAGGCAGGCGATGAAGGAGGGGGGGGGGAAAACGAAACCACAGACAGAAAGAGAGACGAATGGGATGAAGGGATTCCCGTAATCCAGTCAGATGGGGGACGGGACGGCGGACGGGGAAGATCAAAGGTACCCAGTAGGAAGCACCTCGCTAGTGGCTCTTACTTTTTTCCTTTTTTCTTTTCGTCTTTCTGCGGTTCTTTTTAGTTTTTTGTTTTTCTGCTCTTTAAAATTTGCTGCTTTTCTTTTCCCTTTCTTGTGTTCGTGTTGTTGCTTTTTCGTTTGGGGTGGGATCGGTGTTTTGGTTGGAGAAAGCCTGCAACTCTGATATCACCGGCTGATGAAGTCACTGGGATACGGCCGTCTCTGATCGGGGATGCCTGCTCTGCGTTCCAACCTTACTTTCTTGGAACTGTCTATGTCCGTTGCGCGTGTTCTCTGCTCAGCTCGTCAAGTGGCGGAGGCAAAAAAGAAAAAAGACGAGCCCGGGTAGCGTTGGGAAGTGGGAACAAATTATGATGGAGAATCTGAGGCTTTGCCCAAAAGGGGAGAGCGTCCCTGATTGGTCCAAATGCAGGCACGTCGAATGAGTCGAGCAGGAAGAGGATCAGAGGGTGGACGATGATGGCATGAAAATGCAGACGAGAGAAGAAGTAAACAAAAATAAATAAGTAATGAGGAAAAAGCAATGCCAAAATATTTTATCCAACCAAGAAATAGGCTGGAGGATCACAAGATGATGAGGTCGGTGGTAGTCAGCCAATGTGCAGACTCAAAAACTCACGGTCTTGTGGTGGTGTTGTTGCACATACGGGGGAAACGACGGACGATATGACTCTGAATAGGTACCTGGTACTTGCCAAGTACTTAAGTACCTCTACTGACAGCAGAGTTGCTCCTCCGTGCCTTTTAAGTATTAGGAGAAGAAATGGGGTACTGTGTACCATTCCTACCTCCGTAGTCCTGCACCGCCCATCCGGTACCTTCCTTGAGCACTAATTTACCATCTATCATTTCCCTTCCTCCTACTAGTAGTATTACAGTGTATTTCCTCGTTCCCCGTCTCCTCCTTTGCCCCTGGACCCTCTGGTGAAGTACGGAGGGCCAGCCAGGAAATTGACTCAGGACAGTCCCCGAGGCTGTCGCTTTTCCTAGCACGGGCTGTTATTTCACCATCTCCTCAGCATGATCACTGGTATCCTCTCTTTGTTCCAACCCCTCCTGTCACTCTTCCCCCAGGTCCGATGATCCATTATTAAACCACTTCCCCTGTGGTGGTTGTTCCCTCCGCGTCATCGGTTCCCCCTGCTCCGTCCTGAGCCAAGCCATCATCACGGACGGTATGGTCCGTTCCCCTGTCGCGGTGTTTCAGACTCTCGTCAACGTGTCTCTCCCCGTCCCTGACCAGACGACCGGAGTACTCAGGACACCTCCCCCCGCCTCGACTTCCCCCCTCTTTCCAGTTCCGGCAGCACGGGCTACCTACCTGGACTTGCTCAGGAGCGGATTAGGTGGGTTAAATTGGACGGAGGTCTGTCATGGCGCATGACGCACCGGTTCGAAGATCGCATCCTCTTTTCGCTGTCGGATGTTTTCCGGACAATCGCAGGCCTTCTGCTGCCTCTTGGCTCCTCTTCTAAGCAGAAACTAGTCGTGGATTCGACTGTGCTCGGTGGTCCCGAAAGGTTCCTGACTGATGGTTCACATCCGGGAAAGCTGCAAGCCTCCAACGCGTCCCTACTCCCTAGGGCCAGACTACGGTGGGTTCGGGATCCGCCCTGGGTGGGTAACGGATGCCCTATAGCTTCATCACCTCTCCGAATAGGGGAAGCTCCTGCCCACACGAGCTCTTGCAGCTTTTCCGGCCGTCCGTTACTTGGCCGATGCAGTTTCATGCCACCCAGGATGATTCTTATTGAAAACGGCGAGAGCAACAGCGGCCGTGAGCCGGCCAGCATAACCGTGCCACCCCAATCTGTGATGGCTCTCTGGTCTTGCCTGGGAGGATTCTTACCACTGCCGACCCTACACAGTCCGGGAGATCCTACCTGTCACTCGGAATTTAGCAGACCCCTGATGAGCGGTTAGCGGTCTTCCCGTCTTGCTGCTCCCCTTCCCTGCAGCCGTCATTTCGAGGCAGACACGGAAAAGCGCTATCGCTGTTAAAATTATCCCGTGCTATAATTATCATCTGGACATGACATTTGCCATCATTTCCCCTCCATTTACTTGACACGCAAGTCTTGAGCGCTGCCCGTTCCATGGTTCTCCGATATACGGCTAGAGCCCAGGACTTCCTAGTCGTCCTCCCTATCCCTTCTGGGAAGGCCTGTACTGACCATACGAGATTTTTTAGTAACCTTCGTCTCCCCTATTTTTTTCTGGGCATCGAGGCCGGACCCCATGACCCATCACCTTCCACGAATAATCGGAAGTGCACTCGCCACGATAGTAGGACCAAAACGGCGAGGTCACCTTGGGGATCCGCAAGTCCCCGGTGTCTGGTTCACCACTACTACGGGGGATGGGCCCAATATTGGCGGTTTGGGATTAACACTCCAAGCTAGAACCCGCTAGAGTGTCTCCAGAACCTGTTGACTGGAGACGTCAGATTACCATGCGCTCTTGTCGAGCAAGCGCCCGATATTGCTCTGGAGAGGCCCGCTGCATCTGGCGGCGCCCACGCCGCCTAGCAGCAGGGCCGGTAGCCGTCGGCCATCGGAGGATCGAGATGAGGGTTAATTCCAGCCCGTATTCGGTTTCGGTACTTGTACCTGAAGGGGCCCTAAGGGTAATTTATGAGGGCGACTGGGCCAGCCCCATCGCATAGCCTGCCGGGGAGTTCTGGGGGCGATCCCGGCGCGAGCTAAACTCCCAAGCGCTTCTATAGAACATTCTTAGTCCGTTCCCAGTCCACTCAGGACGATTCCATTCTCCTTCCAGGCAAATTGGACTGGAGTCCACTAGGCACCAAAAGCCGGTCTAATGCCCAACCGATCCTGCTGATTGGAAGCTCCGATTTTAAATAACCGTAATATTGGCGCGATTCGCCCGTGGCCGGCGCCGATAGGGGCTGCCAGCCCCGACCATCTCGACCGCTTTACGTGATCCTCCTGGGAAACCGGACAGGTGGAGGGGCCAGCGCAGTACTTACAGGAGATGCTGCCATTTACACTGCAGGCGGTGCAGAAAAAGGGAGCGCGCAAGCGACCGGTCCGCTTTTGGAGTGTCGGGGCGACTGTGCTTCTGACAAATCCGATCCCCAGTCGTCTTGGTGGGTGGGTTGGCCCGCGAGGCATCCTCGACTGCCCATCACCAGTGCCGCCTAGGCTACAGAGTACAGTTACCTACGAGAGGCGGTTTCGATCATCCAAGACTATCTATTCCATGGCCAGTGTCTTCCGGCCACTCAGGACAGTTCACGATGATTAAAATTAGCACCCGGGACGCCGTCGCACTACGGAAGATGGTCGCAGAGTGACCCGGGGTGGAATATCTCATCACCACATGAATCAATAGTCGGAACTCCAAAGGTATCTGCCCAAACTTAGAGCAGCAGCCCCGGGGCATCACATCATCAGTCTGTGGCAATGGTGTGAACAACGAATAAAGAGAACGCAAAGAAGAAAAAAAGGGCCACTAAATATAAATACCTCAGATATCGTTTCCAGGGCCTATCCTTCGCCGTAGGAAGTGAAGATCATCAGCATGACTCCTCTTCCTGCCCAGTCACGCCCTCTCGGTGACTGACTGACGGACGGACTGCAGGTCTATTCATCCGAGACATTTGCCCATTTCAGCAGGCAAGTCAGATCACTATTCATTTCTTGCAGGCCGAGCACGGTAGGCGATGCAATATTCTTGAATGCTCTGCAGTGGCGAGACCTGTCCATGCGCACATAAAAGAATGGGTGTGGCCGATGGGCTGAATGTCAGCTCCAATAATATTTTCTTTTTCCTATCCTTTGCTCTGGATCTCCGCGACATTGCTTTTGGGCCCTGGGGCGCGTTTTAGGTAGTTGATTTATTCATCCTGGGGCCAGCTAACTAATGCAATGCAGCGCAGCCGCCATGTAAGCCACCTGATCCATCCACCAGGTGTTGTTGCCACAGGAATCGAGTCCGGAAAATGAAACAGCCACATCAACTAGGCGGGCATTAATCAACGCCCTGAATTTTATCTATGCGAAGGCTATTGATCTTGGTAGGTTTCAGAACTGCCGCTCAAAGATGGGTCGACAGACACAGATACCTAGCACAATAATCACAATAACAAATGTACTCCGTACGGAGTACTTCGTACCTATCGCACATTTCCCCAATCATCCTCCCCTTGGCTTGTGCACTCGAACTCATGCAAGGGTGGGCCCCGAATATCAGAATTCCCTGTGTCCGAGTTGCAGATTCTTTGCATGTTGCAGATAACTACCCGGTGGGTGTGTTTTATTCGATGGAATCATCACTCATGTCTAGGTAAAAATTTCTTTTTGTCGGACCAACCAGGTGTGACTGGCTGAATGGATCATCGTGCTTTTCTTATTGGTTTATGCTTGATGCTTGTATGGACTGCTGAGGATGACCATGGAGGAGGGGTCAGTGTGTGTGCGTGGGTGGCTTTTGACACGACGGTTCGTGGCATTTGCATCGGGGCGGCCGGTCAACGGCGGGTGGTGTGTGGCCTTTAGGCAGGATCGCGTGCGCGTTGCTGGGTTGCTGGGCTAGACTGTTTCAGGACTAGACCGGATCCGTGGTGTGGCTCGGTGGCTTCGGATCGTTGCTCTGAAGTTACTGTACCTTGGATGAAGTGAAGTCAAGTGGACCATCTTATTGTTATCAGAACTTCAAGTCATAATCATATCGTTCGCTACCAGAGCCTCAAGATAAACAATCTGACTAACAAAAGCAAAACATGTTCATCCCGCAGAACCCAAATCATAAGCCATAAGTCATAACCAACATTGCATAGTAACCGTGCTAACCTCACACTCAAATATATATCCAAAACCACCACCAACAATTCTCATCAACTGCGGAACTACTATACCTCCGACTCAGTATACTGCTGCGTGTGCTTCCTATCCCACCTCCTAAAGGCACCATGCCCTTATTGGACACAACCGCGATACCTCACCCACCAAGCCGTGTTAGATTCATGAGGAAACAAGTTCCACAACACCATCGACTGCTCTTCTTTCTCGGAGAGCTCTAGTCGCGCATACGTGGCATCCGAAACCAACCCATCCGATGGCCCTCATTATTCTGTATAATCGAGGGTGGCCGGGTCGGGGAGTCGCCAACAGAGTGTTGGTGAGAATGCCCGCGGGGTGTCACGGTCCCCGTCGGAAGCGCGAGTGTTATGCCTGCACTGCAGGTGACCGATAACGGTGTGATCCAGGTGCTCAATGACCTTCCGTGCAATGCTGCATGTGGACATGCTCATTGAGTTCTTGAATCCTCGCTAGGCACTCGCGATGACAACCGGCGCCATGAGCTGACCACTATGAAGGGCCGATCGCCTCGCGATTTGAGTAATTTGACTTTCGCTGTATAGTAAACCACGTCATGAATTTCTGGAATAGGCTTCATCTAGCCAGTTATATACTTCTGGCGTCGGTGATGTGTATGCTATTAATGCTGGAACTGGCTTCCCTATGTCAGTGCGCACAAATATAAGCGCCGTCCTAATCGATGGACATCCGGTTAGAAGTTTATTGAATCCAGCAATGCCTGGCTATTGGATTGACCCTGCATTCAGCCTTATGGCAAGGGTCAGTGCGCTAGTCTCAAGGGCGTCTAAATCCGGGGTGTGGAAACCGGCAGTTACGTGTGAGTACCCAGACCAATGATCTAAGCATGCTACCGCTAGGAGTAAACAATAGGATTTTTACTGATATTGCAACCAAGGATCACTATGGCATCTGCCAACCAAAATCACACAAGCCTAATGTGAAAGTTCAGGCGACAATATTTCTTTGAGGGGTTCAGCCTTGCTTTCTTAGTTCGTTGCGATCATCTAAACGCACCAATGCTTCTCGCCAATCGCGGACACAGAGCTAGGAGTACACGGATGCCTTCTACATTGATCTCTTGCGCGCAATCGATTGAGAGTGAGGCACATAGCCATGGGGCCAGGCTACACCGATATACGCGCCCTGATAGGAGGTGCAATGTACTTCTCTGTTCATTGGATGCGGACAAGCCTCGTTCGACTCCTCATATACTACCATGGCCATCCTCCCAACTTTCTGAGATTGAGATAGACTTACCTTGTTCATTTGTGACAGTTATTACGATCTGAAGTGGCCCGAAATGGACCACATCCTTCTACCCAGAGGTCCAGTTGGGTTCCGCTTTGAGGTTCCGGTTCTCAGCACACAAAACTACGATGGCGGGGACTTTTTCACATATCCGAACCGCCAAGGATGGGGCCCTCGAAGGGTCTGTGAGTGGCAAGCGATTTTCGAAGCGCCGTCTATCGAGTTCAAAGCCTTCCTCCAAAGGTGGCTATATTTCGGCCTCATCCACGTGCGCCTTGGTCCTTTCGACATAAAAACCACATTTGTGTCAAAGAAACGAGACAGACATGGGTGTCTAATTCTGAAGACCGAGTCGCTACCTACGATTGCCCTGCATAGCGTGAAAACACCAATCTCGCCGAAGCACGAACTCCGTGGAGTATTAGCAGTGCAGATGGTGGACATGATTCAGTTGCGCCTCTCGAAGAAGTGGCTCTCCAGGAGGAAAAGGGCAAGTGAGTTGCTGCTTGAGGAGAGCCTTTACGAATTCATCATAAACGATGGTCCAAGGGATCCCCGAAATCCACTCGAAGTGATTGCAGGAATGCTGCTATACGATTTCTTCCATGCCAGCTTGAAGTGGAGACCAGCTAGGTTGTCTACCATATCTAACGGTGGGCTACCACCGCGTACAGATTTTAGCAGGCCCGGTATGTGGATGATCCTGCGTCGGCGTGGCTGCTGCCCGTTTGATATACTGCCAATGACCAAGCAGTTCAATGTTTCCGCTCTCATGTTTATGGTGAATATTACGCGGCCGAATCCTGAGCAGGAACACAGAATGATCCATATCACAAGCAGAAAGAAGGTTGCTCCATCTGGGGAAAAGCTCTGTAATCCAATGAGCTGTCATCATCGGCAGCTCTCAGACAACACTTATCAGACACGTCATGTGGACGGATGTCTCGGATGTGAAGATATCGTGGCAGACCCAACGACTATCCTCAGACGCGGAACGTTTCCTCTCATCGTGGCCATTGATACGGACAGCAATGATACTGAGGCCAAATTTGTGGCGGCCGAACAGAATATGCCATACATCGCCATATCTCATGTTTGGTCGGACGGGCTGGGGAATCTCCTGAGAAACGCGCTTCCGAGGTGCCAGTTGCTTCGCTTGAGCGACATGATCAGGAACCTCCCCGGCAGGGTAGTAAGGACGGCATTATTCTGGTTTGATACCTTATGCGTACCGCCGGACTCGGCAGAGCAACATGAGGAACAGGGCACAGCGCTACAGCTGATGCGACAGGTCTACCAGAATGCTACTGCAGTGTTAGTTCTGGACTCTTGGCTTCTGTCTACGCCATGCTCTCAGATGCACGATGCTGAGATGATGATGAGGATTTTCACTGCCAATTGGGACCGTTGTCTGTGGACTTACCCAAAAGGTGCGCTGGCCTGGGGTTTACTGTTCCAATTCCAAGATGGCACCTGCGACCTCGATGCAGTGTTTAGACGTCATCAGATGTCGCTGGACATTGCTGTCAGCATGACGGTATGGCCCTGTATTGAAATTAGATACAGAAGCCTTCGAGGGTTCCGAAGAATCAAGGACCAAAAAGAAGCGTTTGCAGCGATCATGGCCGCCATGGCATTTCGAAGCACCAGCGTGGCGATAGACGAAGCTCTGTGCTTAGCTTCTCTCCTTGACCTTGATTCCAAACCACTCCTAGCCGAGAATGACCCGCAGGCTAGGATGGAACTATTGTGGTCGATGTTGGATGCAGTTCCAGTCACTATCCTCCTAAATATCGGGGCCAAGCTCGACAAGCCAGGACTAAGATGGGCCCCACAGACACTGCTTCTCTCGCCATCCAAGGTTCATCCTGAAACCGGCGAATATTATGATTTCTCCAACCTAAGAAACTTGTTCACGGTACCTATGGCGAAGCCAACGCCCCGTGGCCTCCGCATTCAGCTCCACGGCATCGTGTTCTTAGTTTCTAATGCCACCATTGGAAGCGAGATCATAGTCAAAGGAGACAAGGGCAAGTTCTATCGAATCCTGCACGAGTATCGGCGGCTTGCAAGTGAAAAAAAGGGCGGTGCTCTCGGAGAGCCAAGAACGGTAACCCCACGCCGGGAATTCGGGACGTCCTATGCTGCGTTTGTCTCATGGTCATCCACTGAGCGATTGACAAGGGATCCTGGACTCTTGGTGGCCGTTGTTGAGCATGCCAATAGAGTTATTTATGCCAGAAATATGGGCAAGGCTTTTTGCATGGAGGAGACTAGGGATATGGTAGTGAATGACCTGCGAGACTTGAATAAGAGAGCGATACTGGTGGACAGTGAGACTGGTTTCTTGCGAGCTGCTTGCGGTGAAGAAAGGGGTAGGAAGCAGGTGTGGTGTATTGACTAATGGGTGCATGGGAGTCTTCTGGTTAGGGTACCTTACGTCTTCTTATTATGTACTTCGCTACCTCTTTTCTCAGCAACCTCTCTCAATGTTTTGTGTGCGAGGTTCCATACCAGTAAATGTATTTAAATGTCAAAATACCACAGCTATCTTCGTCTACCACCTACACAAGCCAATCTCACCTAAATCAACATAGCATAGCCCTCATCAATCGCTAAGGAATGTGCTAAGAATCTAACAATAACCCACAAACCCACCACCATAGCCATCCTCAATGCTCATACCTCAACATCAAACCTAAAGTCGAATCTACCGAAGACCATCTTCATGAAGTCATAAACCACCTCCAACCATCCATCACCATCACCATCATCATCATCATCATCATCATCATCATCATCATCATCATCATCATCAACATCAACAACACCACCAAAACCTAACAATTCCTTACAAAATCCCCACCCCAACCCCCAACGAAATCACCACCGCAACCAACCCACCCGCCGACCCTCCCATCCCTGACGCCCCATTCCCGGTCGCCTGCGCACTTCCCCTCCCTGTCGAAGAACCCGAACCCGAACCAGAACTAGTCGTACTAGACCGACTCTCCGCCGCCCCCTCCGAACTCGCCGTACTGGTGGCACCAGCCGTACGACTAACCTCACTCACGACGGAAGTCGCGGCCGCGGCGTTCCAAGTTGTGGTGGATAACGAGCAGGAGGATAAAATCGTATATACATCTACCCCCCAAACCCACTTAGTCTGCAAAATTTTAAAAAAAAGGGTAGAACACACGCTATAATATCATATGATATAATATGATAGAAAGATGGGATCAAACACACCATTATCATGCCTATCCCCATGCCCATGCTCAGCCCGATAATTGGCAACACAGGCTTCGCAGAGCGGAAGGAGAGTGCGTGCTTGGGTCCAGTTGCAGATGCAGGAGATTTCGGCCGACGAGGAATCGTGGTATTGGTGGTCGCAGCCTTCGGTTGTGCTGACTGCTTCGCCGCAGATGGGCCAGCAGGGGGTTGGGATGTCGGAGGGGGAGAGGTCGATGTCGTCGTTGTCGTTGTCGTCGTGGTCGTGGTCGTTGGCGTGGGTGGGGTGGGGGTGGAGGAGGAGGAGGGTGGTGAGGAGGAGGGTGAGGGTTAGGGGGAGGGGGAGAGGGGGGAGGAAGTGCATTTTGTTGCTGTTGCTGCTGTTGCTGCTGTTGCTGCTGCTGTTGCTGCTGCTGTTGCTGCTGCTGTTGTTGTTGTGGTGTGGTGGTGTGGTGAGGATGAAGTAGAGATGGTAGTGTTAGTTGGTATGTTGAGTTCTTGTTGAGTACTGGTTGTGGATTGATGTGATGGAGGGTTTATGGTCTTATTTATATCTTGATTCTCTGGTATGTTTCTATATTTGTTCGCTGAGTTCAAGCGGGGAAGAGGGGGAAGAGGTAGGTTCAGACGAGATGGCCCAAAGTAGGGTTGGGTGCATACTGTCTCAAGATCTAAGCTGCCTATCGATACAGACAAAGACTTGCAAATGCTGCAGCTCAACAGACCCTGCTGCAGCCGAATGCCAAGCTTCGGATGACCCTGATTAACTCTAATGGCACCAATCTGGGGCATAAGAAAGAAGTTGCCTGGAATTAGATGCTGTAGATGTCGGATGAATCGTGACTAGGGCAGAGGGGCTGTATACTGTATAGATATTTCCTCACCGCCACGGTGGGCCTGTGGGACTTGTACCTGGCGGTGGGTCACATCTGGAGGACATGACCCATTCCACCATCTCGCAAAACATGGATACTGGAACCAGTTGCATGTGGTGTATGATTGTTCGTCGAGCTGGTTGGTGATGTGAAGTCGGGGATAAGGTTATGATGTCATCTGTGACACTTATATTCGTGGCTGTCTCGAATCGAGGAACCGGATGAGACGAAGTCAATCAGTTGGATGATTGTCAAGTGGTGCTATGCTACACGGCATGGACTACACTGCAGAGTACTGTGTAAGTAGGATGGAGCATTGAGTATTACTCCACACCGGCGGGTTCTCCGAGGCCGCCTTGCACCGCCTCCCCGCTATATTTAGGGTCTGCACAGGTTATCCCAACTACATGCATCTGCCAGTCAACGACACGAGAACGATGCTGCCTGTACTTGTTGGAAGCTTGGGTTAGTTTGTCAACCTGACCAGATTTTACCATGTACATCAACACCACCGAGGGATGAATGTTAGGTCATGGTGAGGTCAGGTGTTAGCGCGGTCGGAACCATCCGCTCCCCTCATTCTACAGCAGACAACATGACTGCCATCATTCGCTACCTCCAATTCATCTACATTGAAACCCCATCATGGCTCGCGCTGCAATGAGCAAACTGTCCTGGGAGAGTCACGTCCTCCGTCCCGTGCAGAATGCACCCCCAGCTATCATTCCCACACTCATCTACGGCACCGCCTGGAAGAAAGACCAGACCGCTGATTTGGTGCATCAGGCACTCGGCGCTGGCTTCCGCGCCATTGACACCGCAGCCCAACCCAAGCACTACCGCGAGGATTTGGTCGGAGACGGCATACGCAGGGCCCTCCAGGACGGAAATGTCCGACGGGAAGATCTTCATGTAGGTCGAATCTAATATTAGAAAACCATGCATGATGCCAGTCGTGTCTGCCTGTGCTAATGCATTCCAGGTCCAAACCAAGTTCACGTCCGTCAATGGCCAGAGTCCGGACAATATGCCATATGACCCCAAGACCTCGGTGACCGAGCAGGTTCATGCATCCATCAGGTCGTCGCTGCATAATCTCCGGCCGTCCGACCCGTCTGACAGTGTGGACGATGCATACATTGACATGCTCATTCTGCATTCCCCACTGCCGACCATGTCCCAGACGCTGGAGGCCTGGTCGACGTTTGAGACGTATGTGCCTCATCGCATCCGCAACTTGGGCATATCCAACACCGGCCTGTCCATCCTGAAGGAGCTGTTTTCCCACGCGACAGTGAAGCCCGCCGTGGTACAGAACCGGTTCTATGCCGATACGGACTTCGATGTGCCCCTGCGGGCCTTCTGCCGGGAGCACCAGATCATCTACCAGAGCTTCTGGACGCTGTCGGCCAACCCAGAGTTAGTGCGCTCCGATGCCGTCCAGCTGCTGGCTCATGAAGCAGACATCTCCCCGGCTGCAGCTCTTTACTGTCTGGTGTTAGGCCTGGGGTATACCACGGTGCTGGATGGCACGACCAAGCGGCCTCATATGGAGGCGGACCTAGCCGCGCTGCAGAAGATCGAACGGTTTACGGAGGACCAGCCGGAACTATGGCAGAGAATACTCGGACGCTTCCAGCAATTGACGGGAGACCATGGGCGATAAGCCTCGTTTCAAAACCATTGATGGCTGCTTCTCTGTCTTTCTGTACTGCGTACCTAACTTCACGTAGTCACAATTCCCGGTGAAGTGAAAATTTGAAGCAGCAGAATACCATAGAAGCATCCTGAAGCCTCTGGAAATGAAACCAACTCTGGATCAACGCTCCTGCAAGACGGGCCCAATCGAGACTGCAAAGATTGGCGGGCGGTGATTGGACAATGGGCCAGTGGGGAGCTTTCCGTGCCAAAGAAGCCAAAAGCGATTAGCACAGGTTGTAGACTCCGCCGGCGGACTTACTTGTAGCGGTCAACGACCGCGTAGCCCGGGTTGCTTCAAGCCTGTAGCCCAGTGAGCGTGTTGACGCCCGAGTGAATCGACCTGCCAGCCGTGACCAGTTGGACTTCCCACTCCGTCCTGGCGAAGAGTGAAGAGCAGGCAGCACGTGCCAGACGCTGAGTCAGCGCATTGGCCAATCAGGCACCGCCGCTGGGGCCTGAGCTCATCACCGCCCGCCAAGCATCTCGAGCCCCGAGTTTGCTGGCGGCGACCAGACGCCGTTTTCTGTCCTTATCCACCAAGCGCGTCTTGTTTGATCCAGGCCAGTCCCATCGGCCCATCCCGTTCCTGTCGCCGTGACGCTTTGCTTCGACCTCTGTGGTGGAACGCCTGTGTCTCGCGCCTGTGCCTGACCTTTGTTGCGCCCGCCCGGCTGATCTAAAACCCACCGTTCGCCCAGCCTTTCTGTATAGGCTGTCGCCTGCCACCGTCAGCCTCACCCCGGTGACCCTCGATACCAGCGACTGCATTCGACTTCGACGCATCCTCCCGGACGGGAATAATCTTGTTGTGCACGCTGGTTGCCTCACGCCCGCCTCGCGTTTGATTCCTACCATTACGTCTAGCGTCTGCGGCGGCGCCCGTCGCGTCTCCGCCATTGAGACTGCGCTCTCCATCCACCCGTCCGTCCGCGCGAGTCTTCCTTGTTCCTACCGAGTGATCCTGCCCTGAAATTCGAGACGAACCCGACGTTGATGACCGGTTTTCCTGCCATTTCCCGGATAGCCCGTGCCAACTAAGGCTCCCGACCCCGCCATTGCCCGACCGGCAACTGCTGCTTTGATTCCTCACCTAATTTTCGACTTCTTTTTTGCCTGCATCCTAGACCAACCCGCTAGAACATAGAGCACACCCGTTTCAGACCACCCCTAGACCACTCCCGCTCTTGACCGACCGTGGGTCCTGCCGCCAGTGATGAGTCCTCAAGGCATCACCCGCAAGAGACCGGCTCCTGGCACATCCCCCGTCGTCCATCCACAGTTGGGGCCGCTCTCGAATTACCCTCAGAACGCTGGCAATCAGCTCTCAAACGACCAGTTTCTGCAATGGGGCCAAAATTCCTCCTCCAACGTGTCCAGCCCCTCCTTCCCTGATGCGAATCCCTACAGTGCCGCGGCGTACACCTCCAGCCCGGATGTCCCTGCTTCCACAGTCACTGCTTCTGGACAGCTCGCGCGTCGACAAACCCCGACTCAACTGGTGAATCGCGGCCGCGGATACGAACAGACTCCGTCGGCGTTTTCCGACCATGGGAGTGGGACTGGGGAGTCCGGGGGGTGGGGGGAGAGCCTGGAGGACCTCTACAAGCGCGCAATGGTTGCCAAGAGAGAGGCGCAGGCCAAACGGAAACAGATCCCTCCTTTTGTGCAGAAGCTGAGCAGGTAGGTCCCCGGACCGCGCGTGTCACGAATGAGCACTGACTCTGGTTTAGCTTTCTAGATGAATCGAAGAACACCGATCTAATTCGATGGTCTGATGATGGAAACTCCTTCATCGTCATGGACGAAGACGAGTTTGCGAAGACGCTCATCCCGGAGCTGTTCAAACACAACAACTACGCCTCCTTTGTGCGCCAGCTCAACATGTACGGCTTTCACAAGAAGGTCGGCCTGTCCGACAACTCCATGCGTGCCAGCGAGCGCAAGAACAAGAGCCCTAGCGAATACGCCAACCCATACTTCAAACGCGGCCATCCCGACTTGCTCTGGCTGATCCAGAAGCCCAAGAACACGGCTGGGCAGGGGAGTAAGTCGGGGAAGGGGAATGTGCGCGTGAAGACCGAGGAGGTGGAGGACGACAACGACGACTACGGCGATGACGGCGCAGCTTCGCGAGAGGACCGTGCGCGTAACCGCCAGTTGTCCTTGATCACCGGAAGCGTGATGCCCAAGGATCAATTGGCGGGCGTGTATCGAGAGTTGCAAGCCATTCGCCAACAGCAGCAGATTATCTCCAACACCATCAGCAAGCTACGACGAGAGCACGAGCAACTCTATGCGCAGGCGGCCAACTTCCAGGAGCAGCACACGCGACATGAGAACTCCATCAATGCGATCCTCACCTTCTTGGCAACGGTCTACAATCGCAGCCTGCAGGGACAGGAGGGACCGCAGAATCTGGCGAACTCGTTCGCTGGCGCCATCTCCCAGGACCATAGCAACGTGGTCGACATCAATGACTACACGCTGAGCACCTTGGGTGCGTCCAACCTGAATAGCCCTGGGGGACAACGATCGATGAAGAAACAACCGCTGTTACTGAAGGCACCGCCGGGGCCGGAGCGGCAGAGCCGTGCGACCACCCTGTCCCCGGCTACCACCGCCTATGACCGGTCGCAATCGCGTGGCCATGGCCGGCAACCGAGTGCGTCGCAGGCGGGCCATGTGGAGGAGGTCTTTGACACCAGCCCGCGCCAGAAGGACGCGGTGCCGGCCAACCAACAGTATCCGCAGCGCGACATCATGTCGGTCATCCAGAATACCAATGCGCGCAACGGCATGCCCACCACCTTTGCTGACTTTCCCAATGTGCTGTCCTCGCTCGAGACGTCGGGTGGAAATTCGCCGCTCACCCCGAACCAGCGTGCCGACATGCTCCGGCTGATGGCCAACGAAAGCAATTCGGGCGGCGCCAACACGCCGGTGTCCCAGAACAATGCCCTTATGACCCCAACGCCGCCGCCGATGCCACACAACTACTCGGGTCGGCTGGCCAACACGCGCGCGGAGATCGACAACCTGGTGAAGATGCAGGCCGAGCAAGACCGTTCTGTACAGAACTTGACCAACCTGCTCCAACCACTGAGCCCGACGGGCAACATCCCCGGCATTAGCGCTGATGGCAGTGTCCCCCCTCCCCCACTAGACCTTGATCAAATCTTCAATAACGACTACTTTACGGACATTGGTGATCTGGAACATAATAAAGCTAGTTTAGATTTCGGCGATTCGTCCAACACGGTGCCCGTCACGACCTCGGCCGACCCGACGGTCACGACCGGTGCCGAGGACGGCGTCATCAAGGATGCCAACGAGCTCTTTGACTTTGACCATATCCCCGCCGACGGCGATCTCTTTGGCCAAACCAACCCCCAACCGCCCAACACGAACTTCTACAATGCGTACGACGGGTCTGGCTATGGGAGTAACGCGATGGGCTCGGGAGTCGGCGCGGATGCCCCGCTGCCCATGGGCCACGACTCCAGCCGGATCGAGACTCTCCCGGACAGCGAGTCCACCAGCCCGGCCAACACGGTGGATGATGGTCTGCAGTATGGCGGGGCCGAAGCTAACGATTCCCAGGGCGGCAAGGGCAATGGCGGCGTGAAGCGGCGCAAGAAGGCGTGAATGTGAATCGTCACAAGCAATGACATCTACACTACTTATACTAACGGGGGGCTGAGCGGCCGTGGAAGGCACAATGATCAGCCTCACGTTGGAGTTACGAATACGAATAAAAGCTTAAATTTCGTCTTATTTGTCCGTGCCTTGCCTTATTCTAGATGGGCTGTTGCTCGTCGGCTCAGGTACATGAGACGGTGCTTAGTTGCCTTATCTCCCTTGCCCTATCCTCCCTTTGTCCCTCCCCTTCAAAAACGACCATCCCAGGTTTTGAAAACAGACCACCCGCGATTGATCCATCACCTCATCCATTACTGACTGACTTGCCTCCCTCAAAAGCAATCATTCATCTACATACCCTATCCCCTCTATCCCTTTTAGACCCTTTCCCCCCTCCCCATCACCCTATGGATATTCCATCACACCCCCTCTACAACTATATAGCACGATTCTAATGACAGCGGTGGCTTTACTTTTCCTTATTTTCTCTCTTTCTCTTCGTATTGAATATTCTGCTCATCCAACTGCTTATGGTTTTTCTTTCCTTTCCCTTTGTGAGTTGAGTCTGTCTCCTAGGGTGAAAAAAAAAGGAGGACGGGGGGAGGGTTAGTGTCAAGTTCTTCATTCGTAGCATATGAGTGATTTGTACATTCATTGTTAGGTATCGTATCTGTAGATAGGTCTTCAGGTTTCACTTCTTATCTACCTAATTTATGTCCATTCTCCTACTACAACACGGCGAGGAATGATCAACTTTGCTATGGTAATGTTGGACTGATGTAGTACCAAGTTAATGGTTCTATGTAGTATGTAGTAAGTATGGCATGGTATATGATGAGGATATCCTACTAAACATCTCCCTATATAGCATTCGGATTCAAGGATAATGGAATCACCGCCGACTCTTTTCCCACTCCAAATCCCCCACCCGACCTCTCTTCCGATCACGCTCGCGATCCCGCTCGAGACCTCTCCGTTTTCCGGATCCTGATTTGGAACCCGATCCCGATCCAGACGCGACAATCTCCCTCTCTTTCTCTCGCGGATCAATCACCATTAGACTGTCTAGGTCATCAGGGTGCTCTTTCTTCCAGTTTAGGTCTTTGCCTAACGTATCTTTTCCGAAGCGGAGTTGATGCGTCAGCCAGCCCAGGTCTGTGCTATCGTCGGCGGGACCTTCGCCGGCGGTGTTCTCGGCCGTGTTGTCGGACCAGGATTGGCAGGATTGGCAGTTCGCGATGAAGTGGAGGTCGCAGAGTTGGGATTCTTCGTCTTCGTTGGCGTCGTCGTCGAGGGCGGGGTTGTTGTTTTGGGATGTGGTGTGGGAGGTTGTTGTTGTGGTGGTGGTGGGTTTCGGGGCTGCGTCGGCGCCTTCGAGTTTCGCTTTGAATGCGTTGAACATCTTTAGTGCGGCGTTGTCGCTCGAGCTGGAGAACCCTGTGATCCCGTTCGTGGCGCTGCTGCTCGTCGATGTTCCCGGTGCAGGGCGTCTCCGGCCGCGGATGGCGGTTTGAGGGATCATGGCTTCCAGCGCGGATTTCTTCCCTCCGGTTTCTACCTCAGTGGTGACGGTTCGGCGCATCGAGGCCTTGAGGGACTCGATCTCCGCATTGGTACGGTCCAGTCGGGACTGTGGTGCAGGCTCTGGGGAGGGGGATCGCTCTGGAGACTCCGGGTCAGGGAGAGGGAGTTGCATGGCCGGGTCAGGAGTCTTAGGCCGTTCAACAGCCGGCGGGGGCGTCGGCGAGCGTCTGCGTGGAGGCGATGTCTTCTTCTTCTTCTTCTCGACCGGTGCATCGTCACCATTTCCAGCCCCCGTATCCGTCACCAGCGCAGCATTATATTTCGGCTTCGCGGCCCTAACGGGCATCTCCTCCCCCTCCTCCCCCTCCTCATCGCCAAAGCTCAACAATGTCTTCCCTCCCTTCTTATTCTTCTTCTTCGTCGCCTGTGCCCCCTTCTTCCCCTTCCCCTTCTCCTCCCCACCCCCCGTCGCCCTCGCCGTAACATCCCTCTTCACAATCCTCCCCTCCAACGGCCCCAACTCCCCAATCTCCCCTCCCGTCACCCGAATCGGATAAACCGGCCGTTCCGTCCCCTCAACCACCTCCCCCTCCGCAATCTTCAACACATTATAAATACTATCCCCCTCGATCCTCCCAAACAGCGTACACTGCCCATTCAACTCCCTCCCCACATCCCCCAATGTAATAAAGAACTGACTCCCATACGACCCGTCCTCGGACTTCGCCATCCCCAATAACCCCCGCCGATTGAACCGTAACCGACTGTGCAATTCATCGCGTAAGACGACTTTCTCGTTCGGATCGCGCGCCGCGGCGTCGTACTCGAATAATGGGTCTTCGTAGATAGAGGTGCCCCCGGATCCGGTGCCGGTGGGATCGCCGCCCTGGAGGATGAAGTTCGGGACGATTCGGTGGAAGATTGTCCCTGTGTAGTAGTTGTCGCTGATGTGTTGGAGGAAGTTGCGGCATGTGAGGGGCGTTTGGGACGCGAAGAGCGCGATGTGTATGGGGCCCAGGGTGGTGTGTAGGGTTGCGGAGGCGGTGGCGGTGGGTTCGGTGTTGTAGTGGGTGGACATTTTGGTGGTGTGGTTGTGGTTGTTGTTGAGGGAGGTGGTAGGTAAGGGTGGTGGTGGGCAGCTGAGCTCCCTGTTTGCTTTGGTAGTGTGGTGTGGATGTGCGGTATAGGAGGGATGGGTTGGTAGTATAGAAGAATGGGTTCAATTCAATTCGTGAGGTCGCGTGGAATCAGACCCGGTGGTTGGGTCGGGTTGTGGTTCAAGCGGAGAAGAAGCGCGGCGGAAGTTGAGGTTGAAGCTGTTCGGAAATTTGCGTGGGTCACGCACGTCATGTCGCGCCGGCCGGCGGCCGCCATGGGCGTTGTATTGCGACCATTCACCCAATCTATTCATACTGTTCCGCTTTTGCGAAGCTATATATGTTTCTACTTAACTTCCGCAAGATTGATTAGATCTATCTCATTCCAAAGACTAGCTATCACCCAGCCCTGCTCAGATACTGGGCAACACCCTAGATCTCCAGAGCTCTGTACTGCAAGCAAATATATACTAGTTCTCTCCCCTTCTCACAGACCATACACATCCTGGAAACACTGCGTCGTATCAGGACAACTAACCACCAAGTCAGCACTACCTCATGCAAACCAACGCCGAACTTACTACACAGCCTCCTTCCCGAAGATGATATGCCACAGGGATCCCATCAGTTGTTCGATCAACTCATCCGACAGACTCGTCTTCATCACCCACTGTTGATACCGTATGTACTCCGGGCGGGAGCGCTTCCGCACCTGCTCTCTCGACACCGCAAACTGCCCGGAATACGGTGTTGCAATCATCTCCGGGACATCGGTGGTATTGAAAAACATCTCCCAGACCGTGGGAAGCTCCCGCTCAATGGGTGTCAACGGTACGCCCTCCCGGGGCACTGGATGAATCACATCTCCGCACTCTGTATCCGGACTACTGTCAGTAGTACATCGGAGATTGGCGAACCCATTCTCCTGAACGAAATCCTGTCGAAGCAATGAGACAGCAGCCACGTTCCCGTAGTCGCGGAACTCGGTGTGACCCGGTTTGCGGTGATTGTGCAGGAAGACGATCGTCGCGGGGAAGTGGTGATAGTGGTCGATAATGTATTGGAGGTAGACGGTGCTGGCCTTGCCTTTGTTCTTGGGAAGACTGAGCGTGTGACGTCGGTCATCACGGGTGTAGATTGCGTGGCGCCAGCTGGTGTTCATCAACGGTGAGTAGTGGATGTGGAAAAACGACTTACTCGGGGAGTTCGTTACGAAGCCAGTCTGGTCTTTCGAACTTGAGTCTGCCGATCACGATGACACCGTCGATGCGCTTTTGTGTCGTGTCAAGCATGCTGTCGATGGTCCACTGGGAGGACGTGGTGTCTTTCTGAGTGGAAGGGAGGGGGTCCGATATCGAAGGGCGTTTCTTTCGGGCAGAAGATGAAGGTGAAGGTAACGGGGTATGGACGATACCTGGATGCGACTGACTTCCCCAAGGCTTGTCTGCTTTGATTTCATGTGGCTCGGGGATTATCTCCGGGATTCTCTCGAACTGTGGCCGCGCTGTGCTCACTTGACTGACTTGCGTCTGGACCCAAAGAACAATGAGGATCACCAGAGCGGCCGCACTGAGACGAACCAGGATCTGCATGATGCCGATGATGCTGGACGTCCGAGATTGGCAGCAGTCTTCGCGGGAAGGGGGAAGTGTGCACTCATGGCTATCTTTGCTTAACGTCAGAGGAGCCGAGGTCATGATGTAACAGCGGATGATCTGCTGGGCGGGCCTGCCCGTGGTGGAACCGGAGCTGGCTTGTGTCCATGGTCCGGGATGACTCCTTGGGGTGACTCTGGGGTATGTCTAGTCATGATATTCTTAGAGCTGACTCCCCGCCGTCAGACACATATCACCCATCAACTTGACGGGTGAGTCACCTACTTCCTGTTTCTTCCTTATAAAGCCTGCCTCCCTCGTTGCTGGTCCGGGTCTCACCATCTCTCTTCTTCTTCCCAATCCTACTCATCCTACTCATCCTACTCGTCCTACTCATCCTACTCGTCCTACTCATCCTCATCTTCCCCGTCTGCTCATATTCTTATCTTTCCTTTGTCTGTTCATATTCTTATCTTCCTGTTCATATTCTTGTCTTTCCTTTGTGTGTTCATATTCTTACCCTTCTTGTATCTGCCCATCTTGTATCGACTTTCCAACTACCCCCCCTCGAGTACATATGCGGTCCTTCCCGCTAGTGCCCTGTTGTCTCCCCACTCCTTCGATGGAGAGTCATGCCACGGTTGCTCGCTTTGCCGCGTGCGTGATGGGGTCGACTAGGACAGTGGCGCAGCAGGTCAATCCTCCAGCCTGAATGGGTGGGACCGATATTGCCCTCTCTCTTGGCACCACCTGGAGTCAGTCATTCTGGGGACTTAGGGATACTGACAGCGAAGGGTGGACCGTCATTTGAAGGGCTTAAAATCCCTTTGGGTTCAAGTCCCAGTGGTGTATCGGGCACAAATCATCCAGCAAGCGAGTTAGATAGAGAAATCCCAAGCATTGTGCGGGTTCAAATCCCAGCGAATAGCGGGTGCCCGTGGCCTGAATAGCTGGACAGGCCGCGGGTCTCCAGTGACGAGCTCGCACCTCATCGTGGTACTGGAGTCTAGTAGCCGAAAGGCGAAGCTAAGACGAGCTCACTTTGTATATAGTTGCTTTTGTTGCTTTGTTGCTTTGTTGCGTTCGTTGCGTTCTTTGCTTTCGTTGCGTTCTCTGCTTCACCTGCTTCACCTGCTTCACCTGCTTCACCTGCTTCACCTGCTTCACCTGCTTCACCTGCTTCACCTGCTTCACCTGCTTC